TCTCGGCTGTACCAGGGCTTTTGAGGACAGAATGAAATTTCTTCATTTGACATGATTCACTGATTTCACATCATTTAATAACATACTGAGACATACAAAATTTTACATTTTGGTAAATCAATCAAATTCTCGCAGTTACCAGGTTCCAACTCATTTGTACGCTCCGGCAACCAGGTATCTCGGTCCTTACGCACGCTTTGCGCAATTTCTTTACGTAAAAGTCGTCGTTTGTGGTCAAACTCACAGTCACCCGGAGTAGACCGACGGCTTTCAGTGAGTCGTAAGGAGTCTGAAAAAACCCGATGCTTATAGGCGGGACATTTCGTGAGGCCGCATGCGAATGCAACAAATGCTCATCTATGCTTTTCAAACGTAGCTCGGTTCGGTATTTAGTTGCGACAGAAGCTGCAACCAATTTACTGACATTGATCCGTTGATGACGATCAGTTCGTTGGCCACTGAAAAGTAATGTAAGGTAAGTGCAAACAAGGGAATGATCAGACTCCAGACAGTGACTCCAAAAGGAGCGACAGTCTTGTACACAATCACGCCAGCGGTAGCTGATCGTGATGTGATCAATCTGATTCCAGGCTTGAGATGTAGAGGAAGGACACCAGGTGGCACATCGGCGATGACTGTGTCGGAAGTTAGTGCTAGCCAGAAACAGGCTGTAGTCAGTGCACAGTTGCAGTAGACGGTCCCTGTTATCTGATCTGCGACCAACAAATCCCCATCGGCCACCTAATCGACTTTCTTCAGTGCCTAGACGCCCGACCTCTGCTTTCAACTCCCCGGCTAGTACTACAATATCTGCTGAACTCACTTTCTGTAGAAGAACTGTTAACTGATGGTAAAACTCATCCTCGATCGCATCCGGGCTGCAGTCTGATGGAGCACAGATAGAGATGACAAAATGATATCATTTCTCACACCGATTTCTTCTTACTTTGATTGAACTTTTTAATCTAACAACACATAAACGACCGTGAATTGGGATCCAATCGATTAGTGACGCCCCAACTCTAGTGTTTAGTGCGACACCAATGCCAACCAAAGCTGACGAAGATGCAGCAGGGTCCTCTGATGAATGCACACAAAACAATCCTTTTCAAGCGGCAGATGGAGAGCGAATTTGTAGAGTCTTGAATACGGGTCTCGGATAGACAACAGATGTCGATATAATGACTTTCTAAAGACGTAGCCAACCCTATCTGTTGTCCGATCTGCATTAGTGTGCAAACGTCGAAGGAGCCAGTTTGGATGGCATACGTGATTTCAGAAAGACTGTTTCAGTCTTCGTATTCGGCGGTAGAATTCAACTTTCGACCTGTCAGTGACTCGAGATCGTTTAGATAGGACATGGTTTCCACTATGGATGAGCTTCTATATAAGTTGAAAACAAGAATACACAAAAGTGAGAATAGAAGAGAATAGATAAGGGATGTAGTATAAAAAAAACTAAAAATCAATGTTATCAAATGAATGTGAATTGTCCGAATTTTAATTTAAGCTAGAACGGTATTTCCAGTGGTAATTGCCATCACATAAGATTTGTGTGAGGGCTGTGGTACTACTGAGGTGCCCAGACCGAGGCAGGTGGTTATCTTAGGGGGCCACACACGGAGCCTTTGAATTTAAGGTCCAATCCACAAGGAAGTGGAGAGAAGTAAGGAGATGCGTTCCCATGATAACCAGTGACCAATAATTGGTTCATACACCATTTGTTCCCTCAGGATACTTGAGTACATGTACATGAATAGTTTGTAATCAGTGTTTTCCAATTCCTCTATATGGACTCTCTGTGTCCACCAACCGTATTAAAGCGCTGGACATTCTCTTTTCGTCCTCTCAATTTTGTAAACAACACGCCCTTTGCGAGAAGGTAGCGAGTAGGACTTCGCTATCAGTGGTTGTATGCACGTGGCCATGTGAGAGCATTTGGAGAGGGAGAGCTGATTATTTTCACTCTCGGCCATATTTGGCATTTGATTAGTGTGTGATTAGTGATTAGTAAGCAATACATCGAAACGAGCTATAGAAGCATTAGAAACTAGATGACTCATCGTTCGTTCACATGTAATATTTAAACACTTTACATAAATAGGCCTTTTATTCAGTAAAATCCTTTGTTTTAGCCGTCGGAAAGCTTAAAAACTTGTCAGTTTCATTTGATAAACTATACGAGTTTTCGAAATCATAGATGAATATCAAGTTCAGATGATTTATTCACCGTTTCACCGTATATTTCTCATTATCAAGAAAGTTTGAAAACTCTGATTGTATTTTGCGAAACTATCTATGATATGCAAAGATGGATAGTGGCTAGCAGTGGAATCCAGGACGCGCGTTTCATCCTATTTGGGAGCCGTCAGCTGGATGTACTTGTATCTCAGAGTTGATGTTCACTCTGGGACTCGAACCCAGTACCTTTCGATTCAAACGCCACTCGGCCACTGAGCAGTTGCAGTCCTAACACATCGATGGGTAGATTCAAACAAACAATACTAAATGAATTTAAACTTCACCGCATTGCACAAGCAAGTGACTATGAGGACTCATTGGTCGAGTGGATAACGTGATGGCGTTTGAAGCGAACGGTACTGGGTCCGAGACCCAGAGTGAACATCAACTCTGAGATGCAAGTAGATCCAGCTGACCACTCCCAAATAGAACGAAACGCGCATCAAACTGGATTCCACTACTTGCCACTATCCATCTCTGCCTACCATGCTTGTGAATTTAGGCTATATCGAAGCAATACGCACAGTATGCACATACGCCCAATTAGAGACTGACCAGTTGCAGTCCTAACACATCGATGGGTAGATTCAAACAAACAATACTAAATGAATTTAGCTATGATATGTTTCTTAACTTAAGATACGTAAAAGTATAGCTTCACCTATTCAAATATATTGGAAATCTCAGAATGACAAGCCCATTTAGCTATTCAATATAGATCAAGAGAATGAGTATTCTCTTAAAATTTAGAATGATCAGTTGCTTTAATAAATTTTGAAAGCATAATAAGATAAAAATTATTCTCAAATCTAGTTTTGTTTTTGTAATACATTTTGAATGATGTCATCACTTATGTAACATTAAGCATGACATTTGTGAAGGTATATAAATGCATACAAATACATTAACTCCACCTGTAGTTCCTCCGGGTGCTACGTCTCATGATGACAGCCGAATTTCTTCGGAAGTCATGCGGGCGATGCACCTTCTAACAGCTAGAGCGACAATTTTTATAAAAACATGGAATGTCCGGACAACGTGGGAGACTGGAAGAGTCTTCCAAATTGCTGCAGAAATTAGAAAATACAACCTGGAGGTTCTTGAAATCAGTGAAACACATTGGACGCAGGTTGGACCACAACGACTATCTTCAGGGGAACTTCTGTTATGAAGAAGAAATTGCCCCACATACACTAGGAGTTGCATTGATGCTGTCGAAACAAGCACAAAATGCACTTATAGGATGGGAATCTCACGGACCAAGGATCATCAAAGCCTCCTTCAAAACAAAGAAAAAGGGACATTAAAAGGAAAAGAAGGCTGAGAACAGAGTTAGATGGAGAATGCTGGTGAGCAGCCTATGTTCCTCGACGAGGGGTAAGAGGCGTAAGTAAGTAAGTAATATATATACATCATAGAAGTTAGAAATATGAAAGAAAACAGTGAATTAATATAGAAAGAACAAAAATCTGTTAGATTACAATATACGTAAAAATTAACTTAAGTTAACCAGATCAATGTCATTGATAAGCAAAGTACTATATTTCAAATCAATGTTGTTGTTATATCTATAGCTTAGATTCTTGTTATGCCGCGTACTGCTAGACTACTTGAACGATAGAACCCTCAACGTCGCAAGAGAGGAGACAGAAGACTAGTAAGTAAGAATGTTATTCTCAACACAATGTCAAATATAGTACAAAAATCTCATGTATTTATATTTTTTGTCTGAAAGTAAATCATCATCGTCGTTTCGGACAGCCAAAAGGCAGATGAAGGTCCTTCTTATTCATCCAATAGGGAAGCTACACGTCGACATTCTAGAATGTTCCTCTAGCGCTGATTAGATGGAATGTCTTTAGCTTTTTCTGGGCTTCTTGAGGCTTCTTTGAGTTTGCCAACGAGCCATCCTTAAAGTTGCTTATAATAGGATTTTAATTGTAATCAACTCTCTCTGTAATACTTTTAGAATTTCATTAGTATCAATCTATATCAAGATTATATAATTAGAATTACGTAATACAATAACTTTATCAGTAGAAACTAACACCTGATAGTAATTATAAACCTCACACTCACTTTTACAATAACACTAACTCTACCCCTACAACATAACTGAGCTACATGAAGATATTTATATCTGGATTATTATCTCTGTTAGTTCAGTTATATAACATACTCCTGTGGGCCAGAGTAATTTCGCATTGTTTTTCAAGAGAACCATATACCATCCAGACTTTCAAATGACAATCCAAATAGTACAGCTCAACCCTTTTAACAGGATAGCCAGACACTTCCCTCTGGCTTAATCCAAGCAGTTGAGCTCGACCGCGTTTCGCAGGAGAACCCAGTTAGATCAGTCAGTAGAGCATGAGATTCTTAATCTCAGGATCGTAAGTTCAAGCTGCACATCCGGCGTCGTCCGGTCAGACAATGCACTATGTCTGCTAAATGTCAATTATTATCTCTACAAACAATCTTTTCTCTATATATTTTCGAATAAATCATTGTTATTAATGAATTGATCTGATGCAAAATTATTTACTTATTATTAAAGAAAAAAATACTTTTTTTTTTCTTTTTTCTTATTGGTTAAATCAAAATTAACCAATTATATTATAACACAAACAAGCACAATTTATTAAATTGACTTAAAGGGGTCCCACAATAAGATGAAATGATTATCCAATGGTCAACTTCTAAAATGTTCCATAGTGATTTAACTTCAATGGATTCATAATTTCAACTATAAATTAATTTAAACATTAATATCTATAATAAAGTATCCTTTCACTTATCATATCTATAATGTTACATTATAATTCAATGTATATAATATTAATTATATATTTATATTGTTATAGATATTCATTAGTTACCTTAGTAACTACAGATTACTATATGATTAACAAAATAATCAATAATAATAATAATGAAGAATATGGAAAATTGATATGGGGAAATGATACCTATAGACAAGTATGAACTTTTTTTTTTGAGTGTGTGGGGGTGGGTGGGTTTTTTTAATACAGAAATTAGTCTTATCATTATTATTATAATCAATTCATTAAAATTGATCAATTATCACCGATATTATTTAATAAATTTAATAAAAGTTTAATTTCATCAATTTCATATTTGGTAAATTTATTTTTTATAATTATTAATTATTCAATTAAAAAAAATTTTTCCTAGAATCTAACTACTTTATTCCCAATAAAATATTATGGTATTAAATATGATACAGTGAATATATTATCTAAAGGTAAGTGATCAAATAATTGATTTATTAAAATCGATCAATATTTTTTGGGAGGGGGGGGCAAATGATTTGTTTTATTACAATTGATTGATCACTAGGTGGTGGATAATCAATATTATGTTTCTCAAGTTGTTCTTAGGATAGTAAGGAGAAATGGATAGTGGCAAGTAGTGGAATCCAGTTTGATGCGCGTTTCGTCCTATTTAGGACTCGAACCTAGTACCTTTCGCTTCAAACGTCATCACGTTATCCACTCGACCACTGAATCCTGATAGCCACTTGTTTGTGCATTGGGGTGAAGTTTAAATTCACTTAGTATTGTTTGTTTGAATCCTCCCATCGATGTGTTAGGACTGCAACTGATCAGTCTCTAATTGGCAAATGTGCATACTGTGCGTATTGCCTCGATATAGCCTTAATTTACAAGCATGGTAAGCAGAGATAGATAGTGGCTAGCAGTGTAATCCAGCTTGATGCGCTTTTCGTCCTTAGGATAGGTCGAATGCTATTGAGTGAATTACAATGTGGCTACTAGTCTAGGTGGCTGGATACTGCGTACACTATATTAAGATAAGATGGTGGTTGGAGGTGGTCAATGATGTTGTAGATCAACAAAGCGTAGATGATCTCTGTTGAATGATTAGGATCCTATTGGACTTAGACGGGAATGGTGTGACGAATCAACTAACTTTGAAGTTACATCTCGCGGTTGGTATCTAGTATGGATTAATTCTTCGAAGTATCAAAGTACTACGCCTGTTTTGAAGACCGTATAACACAAAGGACGTTATTATGGAAATATATTAGTAAGAATGAGTACAGAGCAAATAGTGAGACTACCACATGATAAACCAGTTCATGGTATATTATTAATTGATACGCGTTGGTTTTCCTTGACTTTGGCAGAGATTGATGATCTTTTCGATATTTAGTGACTCAACCGCCACATAATTTGGCTAGGGCTCAACTAACCCTACGATGTATTAATTATTGACATCTGTAATTTGATTCATTACATATCTAATAATTTGAGGCGAATAATGACATCATATAAGTAATCAGTAGTATGAAATTATTCAATGAAATACTTGGACGATGAACTGTTTAATAAGATTATGTTGGTTGGATATGTTATCAACTTGAACTATGAGCTATGAGTTTCCGTTCAACATCTTACAAGGAATACAGCTCAAGACTGTGAGATATTTAAACTACTTAAATATATGCTCATAACTGTAATGGTAAGGTATTACGTTCATTGAAGACTGAGTGTCGTAAAAAATTCATACACTATCCAGCTAATAAAAAGAAATTCCACTAAAATCATCTTCCTCCTTAGCAACATACCGTCCCCCTTTATCTCAATACTTTCAATGAAGGTATAATTTACTACCAGTTTGTCATTGTAATTGAATATACTACTTCCGCACTGATGAATTCATCATCACATTCTGTTGTTCTGACGAAACTATGACAAATACATTAAATATAGAGTATTTTTATATTATGCTTCTTATTAATAGTCGATTGAACAGTTTTCCATCTTTGATATCTTTTTTTTATCTCAATTAAGGTATTATAGGTATTGGAAGATCATTTCGTCATTCGGGAGCAATGAAAAAAATTGAAGTTTTTAATGGAATGGATAAAGATGGTGGAGTGGAGATAATGAATACCAGTAAGCTTTTTCAGCTTATTCACGATATTGTTATTTTATTTGTTGATTTGAAAACATAAATATTGGTACAAGGGAGCACCAGATATATATGCGCCACACACAAGATTGTCATTTCATTTAATTTTGTGAGGGCTATCATACTACTCGGGTGCCCAGACCGAACCAGGTGGTTTTCTTATGGGGCCTCACCCCGAGCCTTCGACCTAAAGGTCTGATCCACAAGGCATTGGAACATCGTAAGAAGATGCGATCTCGTGGTAGGGGGTGACCGACGATTGGTTCCTACGCCATTTGTTCCCTGAAGATATCGGAGCCCATGTACACCATTGGTTTGAAATCAGGGTTTTTCAACTTCCCTAGGTAGACGCTTCGTGTCCGCCAACCCGGTTAAAGTTCCGGACATTCGCTTTTCGTTCTCTCAATTTCTCAAACAACACCCGTGTTGCGTGTATGCTGTGAGTAGGACTTCCCTGGTAGAGACTGTATACGCGTGACAACACTTGACTTGTAGATGTCTATAAGCATTAATGCGGTTTATAAAATGTTATGTCTCTTCATTGTAAACTTACATCCCTGCAAGTTTTGTTATGGAAGACTTCCACTTTATTGAGTAGAGTACCTATTGAAGTTAATACAATTAATCTTGTAAATGGTATTGGATAGGTTATTATCTACAGTTGCTTCTTATAGTCTACTTAAAATGTGACAGTGATTTTGTTAGTTTATGGGTTATTCAGAACCCTAATACCTCAGAATTCTAATAATAATTTCCGAGATTCATTTTTAAGTGTAGCAGGGTTGAATCTTCTACTCATGTTTGTAGAGCAGTAGACAGATTTTCTTAGCTTTTTTTGTAACAAATGTAAGGGTACCGATTCATCTAGAAGTAGAGAGAAAACGATTTTCGTTAATTTTATACCTAATAAACTTGTCATAGCGTTCTAGCTTTTCTAAACAATATCTGTATATACGTTCATTGGATCCTGTTAAATATATAAACCATATTGTCAAGCACAAACCTAATACATTATTCCGTGGGAATCCAGCGCATATGAAGATAAAAACAGTCATTGAAGATAATCAGTCACTGACAGAATCATTAGAACGAACAAATTGGCAGTTGTTTAATGAATTCACATTTACTTGTTTACTTACTTATGCCTATTAACCCTCGTTGAGGAGTATAGGCCACCCACCAGTATTCTCCATCCAACCCTATCCTGGGTAATTCTTTCCAGTTCTTTACAGTTAACATTCGTTCTTTTCATATCCCCTTCAATCTCCCGGCGTAATGTGTTCTTTGACCTTCCTCTTTTCCGCTTCCCTTCACGATTCCAAGTTAGGACTTGCCTAGTGATGCAGTTTGGTGATTTCCTCAACGCATGTCCTATCCACTTCCTACGTCTTTTCCTAATTTCCTCTTCAGCTGGAAGCTGGTTTGTCCTCTCCCATGGTAGACTGTTGCTGATAGTATCTGGCCAGTGAATGTTAAGTATTTTGCGAAGACAACTGTTTATGCATACTTGTACCTTCTTGACGATGGATGTAGTAGTTCTCCACGTTTCAGCTCCGTATAGTAGGACTGTCTTCACATTCGTATTGAAGATTCTGACTTTGAAATCAGTTGACAGTTGGTTTGAGTTCCATATGTTCTTCAAATGTAGGAATGCTGTCCTTGCTTTGTCTATCCTCGCCTTTGCATGTGCATCAAATCCTCTTTGTTCATTGATGATGCTTTCCACGTACGTGAATGTTTCCGCATCTTACACAGTTTCTCCACCAAGTGTGACTGAGTTAGTGTTCTTCGTGTTACGTTTGAGAATCTTGCTTTTTCCTTTGTGTATGTTGAGGCCTGTTGATGCAGAGGCTGTTGATACATTCGTTGTCTTCATCTAAATTAGCTCGTATGTATGAGATAGAAGGGCTAGGTCATCTGCGAAGTCCAAATCATCTAATTGGTTCTGAAATGTCCACTGTATTCCGTGCTTCCCCTCAGATGTCAAAGTCTCCATAATCCAGTCAATCACCAGAAGAAAGAGGAAGGGAGGGGGTAGACAGCTCTTCTCTGAATTCACACGATCACTCCTATTTAAAATAGCATTTAGTAGAGTCATACAAAATATAAATGAAAGCTTAAAAGTTGAACTAATCAGCTCACTTTTATATCAAAAGAAGATATGATCAAGTAATTATCGGTCACAATTTCGGAATAGAATTTTGAAGTGGAGCAAATTATTTCCTCAATTAAGTTATTCAACTATATTTCAATTAAAACTTTGTCGAAACAATTCGACTACAAAAGCAGAGATGAATTCTACTGAACATTGAGTTGTAATTATACAAGGGGTTTCAAGTGTGTTTCTTACTTTCTTACTTTTCCCTATTTAGTATTCTACTTTCATCACCAAACTATTTCATATTTCTTATTCTAAGCCATAGTTTTATACGTGATGAAATCTTCCTAACAACTGTTTTAGGGATCGCAATTATAAATATGTGACAAGATTGTTACGGCACGAAGTTAGTCATTTTCAAAGTAACAGTCAGTCAGTCAACTACAGCGTAGAACAAGGCACATATATACATCGGTCTAAGTTGACACACCTCAGTAGCACAACAAGATCAACATCAAATTCATAGAAGTAGTCACCTCAATGGTAGTAATTTATAAAAGAAAGATTCTGTATAAAGATACAGTAAAGAAAGAAAGAATTAATTCGTAGAAAGAAAGGGTTAAAGTAATTTTAATCCCATAGTTTAAGGGAAGACAAAAAGTGTATGCACCTATGCCATTGTGATTGATTCTGAACCATGTCACCCAGAATCTCCAACCATCGGTTACGATAGTCGCGAGGACCCCAAACAAGTGGTCTGCATCTAACGACATGGCTGACACCAGAAGTTAGTGACTTCAAGCACTGACGCCGCGTTTTGTTCGGCCTCCCCAAACTTTCTTCGAACCATCCTCAATACTAATCAGCATTGCGTGTCATGGTAATCGGCGGCTGGTCATGCGTAATACGTGACCCAACCATCTCAGTTGATGAAGACTCACAACCTCACTAACTGATTTACCATCATTCACTAACACCCTCTATTCTATTCTTACCATTACATACCCGGTGATCCCAACTGTTGCGAGCAATGTTTCTAAGACATCTGTCATCAAATACTAGTAACTTACGAGTATCCTCAACTATGTAATTTTCAATTTTCAGACAAATTTTTGGCAATAAAATGGATTAATTTAAGTATTTCTGCTTTACATGATGATGAGCCGGAAGAATATGGTAAGTCAGATATTTTACTACTGAAATGTAGTCTATTTTTTAATCCATTCAAATATTAACAACGTTTTATAGGGATATAAGCAATGATGAAGAGTGGCTAGCAGTGGAATCCTGTTTGACGCAAGTTTCGTCCTACTTGGCACTCGTCAGCCGAATGTGTCTGCATCTCAGAGTTGGTGTTCACTCCAAGACTCGAACCTAGTACCGTTCGCTTCAAACGCCATCGCGTTATTCACTTAGCTACTGAGTCCTGATAGCCACCTGCTTGTGTAATGGGGTGAATTCATATTCACCTGTTGTTGTTTTACTTGTATCTTCCTATTGTTATATTGGATCAGTCTCTTTATGGCATATGTGCATCCTATGCGGACTGTCTCGATATTGCTTGAAGTCAAAAGCTTTATATGCAATGATAGATAGTGACTAGCAGTGGAATCCAGGACGCGCGTTTCGTCTTATTTAGGGATAGATGGAAAAAAAGCAGGAAGTTACATAAGTTTACTGAAAGATAATCTTTTTGAACTGTTGAGTTCTTATCAAGAAATTCCAAACCACATTTTTATTTCAGTTTCAAGGACACCATTCAACGTTTAACCTTTCTAACTATTTTTACACATTTTAGTATTTCAATAAGTAAACTTAATTTAATGAAGTCAAATGAAGTATAGACTATGATGGGGAAGATTTGTAGCTCAGGTGAATGATTTTGTCAGCGTTTAGTTCACTGAACTGTATGGTTTTGTCGTGAATCATTCATCATCTTTCTGAACGACATCATCAGCACAAACTTCAGGTAGAAGTGAAGTGTTCGAATTTCTCCACATGTAACTCACAGCTTATCCTGTACATCTTGATGTTGATTGGTTCTTGCTGACCTTAAATCTGTCATTGTTTACTTGTTCATTTTGGTTGTATCTCCCATTGGTTTAATTTCTTTTCCTATGTTTCTGCATAATTTTCATAATTGGTTGATAAGTTGGATTGATTTCAATGTGCTTGTTTATCGCTGGTTGATCTGAGTATAGACTACCGATTCATTACAATATCAAACTACAATTTTAATAATAATCTTACTATGAGATTCGTTAGACTGTCAGATATTAGGAAATTGCTTAAAAAGATTCATATCATTGAATGTTTATATTATTCCTGTAAAGAGTATGCCGTGTCTATTTATAGTTGAAATCGTGAGTCAATTGAAGCTAGACCACCATGGAAAACCTGCAAGCATTGGAAGACCGTTACGTCCTATTGTGGGACTGCTAAGAAGCATTGAGTGTCCATGATCCCGCCTTCGAGAAAAACCCTTTCTGGTAATAATCATATGCTCATTAGTAACTGGCTTCAATAGATATTTCCTGGAGTTCTAGTGAGAAGCAGAGACCAGTGGAGTTCAACTGGGTCTGTTGTGAGATAGTTACTCACTCGAGACAATGGTAAATCGTGGGTCAATTTTGTAGATTGCTTGAAGTTAGAAATTTGCGCCGTCGAATATCGGCCGGCTCAGTGGTCTAGAGGTTAAGCGCTCACACACGAAACTGATAGATCCTGGGTCGGAATCTCGCGAGACGGGATCATGGATGTGCACTGCCATTGAGGAGTCCCATGTTGGGACGAAACAGTCGTCCAGTGCTTTCAAGTTTTCCATGGTTTTTTAGCATCGATTGACTCATGATTTCAACTATAAAATTACTAAAATCTCTACAAAAAACCCCTTCTGTTATGTAGTTTTTATATATAGTTGTATGTAAAATTTATTTTTTCAATAAACTGATATATGTATTGTAGATTGAATAGGTAATGATGTCTTAGTTTCTATTATGTAATGTCAACTTTCAACTTCATTTATATTTTATTTCAGCCATAGTAGCTTGCATTATATACTCCAATGGAAATATATCAATTTATTTTGAAAAGGTAAGTTAAACTACTTGTTAGTATTTATTATTATCTATTTGAACACATAAATATTTGTAAAAGGGAGTAACGAATACATATACTTCAAACAAACCACTTGATTGGAGTGTGGGTTCTGACACTGCACGGGTGCCTAAACAGAATCAGATAGTTTTCTCAGGAGACCACACACGGAGCCTTAGACCAAAAGGTCTAGTTCGCAAAGCAGTGGAGCAACGTAAGGAGATGCAGTCCCATGATAACTGGTGACCAACCAATGGTTCATACACCATCTGTTCCCTGAGTAACCTGGAGGCCATGTATGTAATTGATTTGGAATGGGGGTTTTCCAACTCCCCTAAGTGGATCCTCTGTATCCACCAACCGGGTTAAAGCACCGGATATTCGCTTTTCTTCCTCTCAATTTCGTAAACAACACGCCCTTTGCGAGAAGGTAATGAGTAGGACTTTGCTGTCAGTGGTTGTATACGGGAAGCCGTGTGAGAGCATTTGAAGAGGGAGAGCTGATTCTCCCTGGTCTCGGTCATACCAGACCGCTTGGGGGCCAAGGCGTTCGTTAATACATTATGCTATAAATATGTGGTATAAGATTCATAGTACTAAACATTCCCAGATAGGATTTTTCTCGCTAGCTTTACACGAGTAAATGTTTTGTCTACTTGCTCTATCAGAGGACAATCAAAAAAGAACTTATGAATGAGACTTGCAGTAACTGTTATGTGTATAAACCATCTGCACTAAATAATTTTTAGTTCTTCACAAACATAATATGTGTCATCAGTGTTGTTGGCACTCTTCTTAGTCCCACGCTCTACAATATAGTTTTCTCTCAAAGCCTGAATGTTGATTAAATCGGAAATTTGACAGAAACAAATGAAATAAGGGAATGAATTACCTCACATATAAGTTAAGTATTCGGTTGATTTGACCCTACTCCATAAATATTATAAAGAAACACTGAAACCAAGATAGATAATATATAGTATCATGACTTCTATAACCCAAAACTAAAGTAAACTATTCTCAACTATTAACCAACTTAAAAACATCATAAAACATTCACTTGGTAACGTTTGGTTGAATCTTCCCATTGATGTTTAAAACTGCAATTGATCAGTCTCTTATTGGCCATATGAGCATAGTGTGCATATTGCCTCGATATAGCCTTAATTCATAAGCATTATAATCAAAGATGGATAGTGACTAGCAGTGGAATCCAGATTGACGCACGTTTCGTCCTATTCGTGACTCGTTAGCTGAATGTACCTTCATATCAGAGTTGATGTTCACCCCAAGAATCGAATCCATTACAGTTCACTTCAAATGCCATCTCGTTATCCACTTAGCTGCTGAGTCCTGATAGCCACTTGATTGTGCATTGGGGTGAATTTTAAATTCACTTGGTATAGTTTGTTTGAATCTTCCCGTGAAAGTTTAGAACTGCAACTGATCAGTCTCTTATTGGTATATGTGCATACTGTGCGTATTGCCTCGATATAGCCTTAATTCACAAGCATTATAAGCCCATTTTGACTCGTCAGTTGCATGTACCGGCTTCTCAGAGTTCATGTTTACTCTGAGACTTCGGGACATTGTCACATATTTCTAATAAGTAGTAAGTGGTCAAGAGACCATAACTATAGTACAACAAGCAAGAGTTGTTTTTTTTTCAATGATGTTCTATTATAATGGCGTCATTAAATTTTAAGAATGTGATATCAAAATTAAAATGTAATTTATTGCATAACAATTAGAGTCATCTAACACGTAATATGAATAAGCTAAATTCTGATTTATTCAACTAAATAATTAACTGTAATTGCTAATCAGTTCAGATTACTTTTTATGTGTGTAAAACTATCTCAAAACTAATAGTTTATGTTTACAAAGTATATATTCCGTTAAGCAGATAGAAATACTTATCAATGACTAGATCTGTATCATAATTCAATGGGGCTATAATTTATGGACGACTTTTGAGCAACGTAGCCGCCGACCATACCACTTTGAAAGTACCGGTTCTCGTGAGAGCATCGTTAAAGTTACCTTGAAAATGTTCACCTACTGACCAGGGCTAAATGAGGATTTTAAATCTGTATGAAGGATGATGATTGTGATTCATAACTGAGGATCAAAGATAAAGATTAGATTTAGGGTTTTCATCACAAGCTTATACCAGTTAAAATGCCAAGAGGTTATTATGCTAAATGAATGAGTAAATTTCGCGCCAAAATTCACGACCTTTAACCTTAAATCTGATTGGTTCGTCCATAAATTATAGTCCTGCCATTAATTAGTTTGCTATAGTAATTATTTTCCGTTATCGCAATGTGAAAAGCAGAAACATAAATAAACTGATTCCCTAAGATGAATAATTTAATCATCCAGATTGACTTGTCAGTCTCATAGAACGAACTGGTGCTAAAATCATCATCTTGGACTACAAATCTCCTTTACTATCGAGGATTTCTATGAAACTTTCAAGACAGTGTAATACGGTTTCCAGTTGAAAATACCTTGAAATATTCTTAGATTTTCAACCGACATACATAAAATATGCTTTGTTCTTCACTTCAAAACAAAAACACCTTGAACTGCTATGGTCGTTACAACATTAAAACGGGTTAAAGATTCGTGCAGATTAGTAAAATATTTTTAACCTGATACCTAAATCCTGAAGTGATAGTCATGTATTAAGAATAATACACTTAAATCAGTAGTAAGAAAGCATACCATGGAGTTATCGTCACCGAGGTTTGACTTGATGTTTTCAAATCTATATAATGACTTGTATCCTGTTGAATATTACGTGATTCATTCACCAATCAATACATGACTTGTAAAAACTTAGCGATGTGTCAAACTAGTGACGTGTTGACTGGTATGAGTAGCCTAGAATCTTTATTCGGTCCTTTCTTCATCCTATCCCTGCCTCTTGAGTTCAGAATATCAATATCAGCTTCCGCTAAATAAATTATATATTTCAAACATTATTGGTTTACATACAAGCAAATGAGACCTCATCATACCAATTGCTTATAGTTCAATGAATTGAGTTGATGACATTACTTCTAGTACAAATCTTATTCCATCTTATGGTAGACATCAGTTTGACAATGTAGATTTTTTTTGTATTCTAGTTCCAATTACTGTTGCTTCACTTACTTAGATACTGATTTGAATTATTTTTTTCTGGTTAGTGTTTTTTAGTGAGTTAATTTATCTACGGGATGAGGTCGCTAACCCCATGCCGAACCCTCCTCCTTTATCCGGGCTTGGGACCGGCAGTAGCTCTATAAGAGCTACAGGCGGAGTTTAAATACTGATAGATTTATAAAATGGATAGAAAAGAATTTATTCATTGTCCTTCATTGTTTCATCCCGTTTTTTTTTTATTTTTTCTTTAGATACCAACAGAATTTGGTAACACTGGAGGGAAATTAACTATTACAGATGGTTATGATTATGCTACATATAATTCAAGTGAGAAAATTTATATGTTCGGTTTAAAATAACTGAAACTAGTTCGTCCCAATATGGGACTCCTCAATGGCAGTGCGCATCCACGATCCCACCTCGCAAGATTCCAACCCACGAACTATCAGTCTCACGAGCGAATGCTTAACCTTAAGACCACTGAGCTGGCCGTTATTCAACGGTGTTAATGTCTAACTTCAACCAATCCACGAAATTGAGAGATACATGCACCATTTTCTTCAATGAGTTACTGTCCCACAACAGACCTGATTGAACTCCATTGGTTACTACTTCTCACTAGAACTCTACGAATTACCACTGGTTAACATATATTCATTCTGAACAAAAAATATTATGACGTTTTATAAGTTAATAATGAAGAGAACTGTGATAATTTAGTTGTAAAACTTGTAATGACTTTGTTTTGTTAACCAATCACCTTCGTAACCGTTATTATATAAACTTCAACAATATTTAAAATCAGAAGGGGAAGAGAAGTGGCAACTAAAATTTATTAGAGAATAGCACAGGTCACAAAGCTATTAGCACATCGGTTATATTTGAAGCACACAGGTAAATGAGTGTATGTAAGCAATTACATAGGCAAATTTATAGTCAAATGGTATAAGAGTTTAGCAAGGCAAAAAGCAAAAGCTAATAATAAGATTTGAGTATACACATATATAGGGTGGAGGATAAATCATCGAGTAATATTTAAGTGATCAACATTTTACCTAGAATCAGTCACTTACTTTAGTGGTTAGGCGCTCGCGCGCGAAACTAATAGGTCCTGGGTTGGAATCTCGCGAGGTGGGATCGTTGATGCACACTGCCACTGAGGAGTCCCATGATTAAACGAAACGACCGTCCAGTGCTTTCAGGTTTTCCATAGTGGTCTAACTTCGTTTCATTCATGATCTCAACTATCAAAATACAAAAAAATATATGAATTGTTATTATTCAAATAAGATTGTCTGTTAAGTAAGTTAATAAAAGGCTGTAACCAAAAGTTAACCCTAATAGGTTAGTTAATATAACATTATGAAATGGTATTCTGTATGATGTAAAAAACACTCCATCTGGAATTTCTTCTTTACCTAAAATTTTGTATTTTACTTTCATATAGCTGGATTGTATATCATTAAAACATCCTACAGTATGATTAAAACTCCTGAAATTATGATCAGATCTGGAACGTTGGTTGAATTCACCCCAAATAAAAGTAAATAAATTTTTATATTTTTTTTAATAGTATGTATCTGAAATAGGATCTGAAGAAAGATCTCATGTCCTATCCCATTTAACACAAAAAATATTGATCGTTTAGCATAATAACACTTCAGTCTGAAAGTTTATCAAGATAGTTACTAAGCCATTTTACTATACATGTAGCTATCAAACACTTAACTTCTACCTGAAGTTTGTGGTGATGATGTCGTTCAGGAGGACGATGAAATCTCCTCGATCAAACCATCCAGCTCAGAGAACAAACCTACATCAAAGTCACTCACCTGAACTACAAATCTTCTCCACCATCTCAGCTATCAATTATATTTATTTTATGATTACAAACAAATTGTCAGATGTAAGAGTCTTAAGGTAGACAAAAGTTTTATAATTATCTTAATGACAAATAATTATCTACAAACATTATAAGCAAAGATGGATGGTGGCTAGCAGTAGAGTTGCTAGCCATCTTTGATAATAGTACTTGTGAATTAAGGCTATATCGAGGCAATACGCACAGTATACACATATGACCAATGAGAGACTGATCAATCGCAGTTCTAAACTTTCACGGGAAGATTCAAACAAACTATACCAAGTGAATTTAAAATTCACCCCAATGCACAATCAAGTGGCTATCAGGACTCAGCAGCTAAGTGGATAACGAGATGGCATTTGAAGTGAACTGTAATGGATTCGATTCTTGGGGTGAACATCAACTCTGATATGAAGGTACATTCAGCTAACGAGTCACGAATAGGACGAAACGTGCGTCAATCTGGATTCCACTGCTAGTCACTATCCATCTTTGATTATAATGCTTATGAATTAAGGCTATATCGAGGCAATATGCACACTATGCTCATATGGCCAATAAGAGACTGATCAATTGCAGTTTTAAACATCAATGGGAAGATTCAACCAAACAATACCAAGTGAGGTAGTCTACAGTCTTCTTGGAATAAATATTACTTTAAGGAAAAGAAAATTTAATTCTAATGACATGGAATAATTTACTTTCAAAATACCAAACATGATATTCACTAAAATTGCACTAAAATTACAAGTGGTTAATTGATATTATAGTAATGTAATATTTGAGTTCATAAGTCAATTGAAGCTATATCATCATGGCCTAAAAGTTAAGCGTTCGCACAAGAGACCGATTAAGTTCTGGGTTAGAATCTGGAGAGATGGGATCGTGGATGCTCACTTCTGTAGGGTCCCATGTTAAGATGAACCGACCGTTCAGTTGTTCCAGGTTTTCCATAGTTGTCTAACTTCAATGGAATCATGAATTCAACTATTAAGTTTATTCTTTTAATGTTTTCTTCTATAACGATTCACTTAAATTATAAATTATTTTAAACTTACATTATGATTATCTTTGATAATATCTTTGAACTATTAAAAAAACAAATAAAGTTTTTGATATAACTGCTATAACTTGTGGCGGCAATTGTTATAACATGTACCCGCCTATTAGAGAGCAGTGAATAATCCATCAGACCAGTGACATAAGAAACCCGTACGAGTAGTTTAGAGCACCTGTCGGTTTTGCTTCCCGCCTAGCCCAGCCAGTTAAGTCCATGATATGTCTCGTAGGTTGAACGCTTTATTTGGATCCTAGCTATTCGGATAATCCCAGGCTAGCACTACTCAGCGACTTGAAAGACCAGAGAGAAGACACGAGTATCAGAGAAGCACCTTACTACAAGGTTCATTATGTACAGAAAAAACAGGGGTTTTATAGTAATTAAAAGACCTTGAGACTCCATAGTAGCAGTATGTTTAACAGCCAATCACGACCTTATTATTTTAGTAGCATTTTAGTAGCATAGCTTCTAACTAATCGCTGATTGGTTGGGCTCTTTATGAGCCTCTCTGGAGGCTCTGATAGAGTTTATTGTAAGCCGACCTAACAGTCCAGAACAACCAATAACAGACTCTACAATATGAATCATTTATTCCAAACATACTGGGTTTATATACCAAACAAACAGTCCACATCATACCATAAACTAGATAATAACATTTGTTCAATATTCAGTCGAATGTGGTTGTGAATAAGGGAGATAGTAATTGATAGACTGGTGATAACTCAAGAACGGTAAATCGTATAATCATAGCTCATAAGTCCAAATAAGGCTTATAATAAGAGGAACATGAATATGAATAGTTTAGTTACTTAACAATTATACAATATGAAATATACATATCGTATTGATGCATAAATAGTCCTCAAATGTTACCATTCATAATTCTTCTCAGGATATAACAATAACCAAGAAAACAAATTGTTACCATTTGTTACAAGATAATACGATCATTTGTGTAATAGGATGAGTATACAAATATTAAACTGGTTTAATAGACTAGATAATCAATCAGTTAATTACATGGATCATTTTTTACTAGATCACACGTAAACAGATACAACATCTAACTTTAAAAAATTAAGAATCAAATTAAATAGACAATCATTTAACAAAACATGGTAAACTAAGAAATATCACGTTTAAGTTGATTCTCTATCAAGAGTCCATAATAATACACAAGTTTTATGATAAGGACTGAAATTATTTGAATAATGTATTTAACTACTTACTATTTATTAAGTAACTAAATGAAAATAATTGATTTTTTATTTTCTCAATCTGTTTCTCAGTATCTTCATATGATAGTAATTTATTCGCTCACAATACAAGTAATCAACAACAATTTAATTGCAATACGAATACTATCAATTAATCATGGTCTATATAAATTTTATTAGATTTACTTTAACAGTCTTAGAAGTGTCAGGTTACTTAATTACTTACTTACTTGCTTGCTTACTAACTTACTTAAATACTTACTTCAGTCAGTAAGACTGAATGACTGACTGACTGACTCCTGTTACCTCCAATGAAGAAAAAGCCACCGATCAGAATTCTCCAACAGAACGTGCTCTAAGATTTCCTTTCTGGTTTTATCCAATTTTTGTTCATTCTTCTCATTTCTATCGCCATTTCTCAGCCTAATGTGCTCTTTGGTCTTCCTCTTCTACATTGATCTTGAGGATTCCAAGTGATGAGGACTTGCCTTGTGACGGAGTTCGAAGCTCTCCTCAATTTGTCCTATCCACTTCAAGAACTTCTCCTTGATTTCTTCCTCCACTGGAATCTGGTTTATTCTCTTCCACAGTAGGTTGTTGCTCATATTTTCTGACCAACGGATCGGAAGTATTTTGTGTAGACAACTGTTGATAAGCACATGTATGTTCTGGATGATAGCTTGGGTAGTTCTCCAGATTTCTGCCCCATACAGTAGGACTGTGTTGACATTTGTATTGAAAATTTCGACTTAGTTGTTGGTTGACAGACAGTTGTTTTGAGTTGCAGATGTTCTTCAGTTGTAAATATGCCGCTCTTGCTTCGCCGATCTTCTCCCTCACATCTGCATCAGATCCACCGTGTTCATAAATGATGCTGCCCAGATTTGTAATGGATTTTACATCCTTCAAAGCTTCATCGTTAAGAGTGATTCGATTGGCGAATGTTGTATTGGAGAATCCCGCTTTTCCCTTTGTTTATATTGAGACCTACTACTGCTGAGGCTACTGCTACACTGGTCGTCTTCTCCTGCATATGTTGTTGCATGTATGATTGATGAGCCAGATCATCTGCGAAGTATAAATCAGCCAGTTGTATCTTAATCGTCCACTGTATCCTGTGCTTACCCCCAGATATTGACATCTTCATAATCCAGTCGATCACCAAGAGAAAGAGAAAGGGTGAGAGTAAGCAGCCTTGCCTAAAACCGGTCTTTACCTCGAACAAGTCTGTCAACTGTTCTCCATGCACGATTTCGCAGTTTAATCCATAATGAGAATTGCATATGATGTTGACTATCTTTTCAGGTACGTTTAAGTGTCGTAGAAGCCTCCATAGTGTTATCCTGTCTACGCTATCAAATGCTTTCTTGTAGTCAATGAAGTTAACATAGAGTGATGAATTTCATTCAATTGATGGTTCCACAATGATACTTAGTGTTGCAATTCGATAGGTACACGATCGATCCTTACGAAATTCAGCCTGTTCATCCTCAAATCGGAGTTCTTCATTTTGTTTAACAGCACTCTGTTGAAGACTTTTCCAGGTATTAAGAGAAGAGTGATGCTCCTGTAGTTATCAAACTTGCTGAGATCTTCTTTCTTTGTTATCTTCATCAAGTGTTCTTATTTCCAGTCTGTTGATACTTGTTCTTCATCCCAAATCCTTTTGAAGAGAATGTGGAGTATATATGCAGTTAACCATCATTTTTCTAATGTTAGATAAAAGTTGGAATCTAGCACTTTCGAACATTTTTCCACTCATTTAGTGCATGAAAGTTAAATGTAAGGGTACGATTTTAACTAAATATTTCACTTTACTCATATACATCTAATTGCATATGTCTTTTATGACAACGCCACTATAGCATATCCCAACTAACGGGACATAAAAAAGTAAGTAAAGTGTGAATTAGAGCTGTACTGTACTTTCATATTCAGCACTCATTCATTAAGTGAACGAAAAAAATACTTAATAAAGCTTGATATTGCACACATTATGAAATGAATGTACCGGAAATTCACAGATACAAATTCTATCTCTCATGGAAGTCGATACCCTCACAAGTCAAGTAAATATAAACTGTTTTTTTTTAAAAAAAAATTCATTAAGTATTGTTTGTTTGAATATTCCCATCGATTTGTTAGGACTGCAACTGGTCAGTCTCTAATTGGCATATGTACATACTGTGTGTATTGCCTCGATATAGTCTTAATTCACAAACATGGTAAGCAGAGATGGATAGTGGCTAGCAGTGTAATCCAGGACGCGCGTTTCGTCCTATTTGGGACTCGTCAGTTGGATGTGCTTGCATCTCAGAGTTGATGTTCACTCTGGGTCTCAGTGGTCGAGTGGATAACGCGATGGCGTTTGAAGCGAGGGTACTGGGTACGAGTCCCATAGTGAACATCAACTCTGAGATGCAGGTACATCCAGCTGACGAGTCCCAAATAAGACGAAACGCGCGTCCTGGATTCCACTGCTAGCCACTATTCATCTCTGCTTACCATGTTTGTTTTTTCTTTAACGACCCAATTAATGTCTAACTATTCTGTTCTCTCCTTGAAAGTTTGTTCAGAGCAAGAACTTTGTGAAACATGTATTAATGCATCATCTTTAAATGAAAAATGTTATTGGTGTCCAATTGTCAATAAATGTAGTCATGGATTTGATATTCACAGGCCATTATGGATGTTAAAACGCTGTTATATTAAAGTAAGTTTTAAAAAATTAACTTCATTTTGGAGTGGGGGAAAGGGACGAAACAGCCGTCCAGTGCTTTCAGGTTTGCCATGATGGTTTAGCTTCAGTGGACTCATGATTTCAACTATATGAAAATAATAGAATCTCCACAAAACCCCTCTTCTAATAACTTCATTTTCTTGAATATTATTGTATTCAACTTTGTAAATCTACTTAACTGATCGAATAGTTTAAAGTAAGAAGAATATAGAAATCATTATCTAATCCAAGACGATGAATATAATGTTACATGTTAAGGATATGATGAATAAATCTATAGTCTATTATGTTCAATCACTGGAAAACTTAATAAACATCAAGTTATAGGGGATTTACAATATATTTTTCACTATGTATTGTATGGAAAGATCAAAGTGTTTAAGTACTTTTATGGTGTGGGTCACTTATGTCTACATAAGTAGTATATAATGATGGTCGGGCATTGGATGTATTTCAGTAAAAGATCGATAAGGAAAGAACGGGAACAGTATGGAATTGGTATGAACATACATGTACATTAATAATCACATACGATGGACTGATATTTGCAGAATGATCGATCAAGATCGAGACAATCGATTGATAGTTTGCAAATGAACTATTTAATATATGTCTCTCATATTACAGTAAGATATTCTGTAATTTTGTACTAAAGTACATTCAATTATCTCCGCTCGACTTCTTGTTCACTAAACTTTGGTAAATGTAGTTTTAGAGTCTTTAATAGTATGTGAAAACAACAAGTCCCAGAATGAACATTTCAACCCCAAAGGTTATATTAAGGTAATTACAAAATTTACCAATAAAATATTTTCAGTAAAAGGTTTTGTGTATATCATATTAATTTAATAGTTGAGTTCATTAGTTAATTGATCCACAAAACTCCTTTCTGATAATAATCATCACATTCTCACTATTGATTGGCTTCAAGACGTATTTCCTGAAGTTCTAGTGAGAAGGCATGACCGGTGGAGTACATTCGGATCTGTTGTGAAATAGTAACTTACTGAAGATAATGATGAATGTTGGCTCGATTCTGTGAATTGGTTGAAGTTGAGTATGCAATTTATCAGTGTAATGCTCATTGAACACTTACACAATTCACGAATTTGTATAATAAACTTTCAGTTTTTATGCTGGATTTGAGAAGTTGTTATCATATCCAGTCAGTCAGTCAGCTACAACGTAGGACCAGGTAAATTTATGCATCGGTCCAAGTTGCCATACCTCGTTAGCACAACAAGATGAACACCGGATTCATAGAGGTAATTAATTTAGTGGTGGTGGTGGTAGTATATAAAAGATAGGTTGTATATAAGGATATTGTATAGTATGGAAGACGGATATGAAGCAATTTTAATCTCAAGGTTTAAGGGAAGATAAAATGTGTATATACCCACGCTCTTGTGATCGATTCTGAGCCATGTCACCTAGAGTCTCCAACCATTGGTTACGATAGTCACGCGGACCCCAACCAGGTAGTCTGCATCTACCAACATGACTCAGGCTAGAAGTTAGTGACTTCAAGCTCTGATGCCATGTTTTGGTTTGGCTGCCCCTAACTCTCCTCCAACCATCCCCAATACTAGTCAACATAGAACGTCGTGGTAATCGGTGTTCAGGCATACGTAACACGTAGCCCAACCATCTTAGTCGATGAAGATTCATGACCTCATCAACTGACTTACCATCATCAATCCCTAATACCCTGTGTCTAACCTCACTATTACTTACCCGGTGATCCCAGCAGATGCGAGCAATATTTCTAAGACATCTGTGGTCAAATACTAGTAACTTACGAGTATCTTCTAATATTAATGACCATGTATCACATCCAATGATACTTTGCTTTTTTTTCTTCAGAACACTACAAAGTGTCAAGAGTCAACTACTTCAGTATACACATCGGATCATGAACTGAGCAGCATGAGGACCACTGAGTATTATTCAAATACCTTTCCTAACCACAGCTTTACAAACTATTCAGAAACAACTCTTGAACTATCAACAACAAATTCAGTATACACACCGGATCATGAACTGAGTAGCATGAGGACCACTGAGTATTATTCAAATACCTTTCCTAACCACAGGTTTACAAACTATTCAGAAACAACTCTTGAACTATCAACAACAAATTCAGTATACACACCGGATCATGAACTGAGTAGCATGAGGACCACTGAGCATCATTCAAATACCTTTCCTAACCACAGCTTTACAAACTATTCAGAAACAACTCTTGAACTATCAACAACAAATTCAGTATACACACCGGATCATGAACTGAGTAGCATGAGGACCACTGAGCATCATTCAAATACCTTTCCTAACCACAGCTTTACAAACTATTCAGAAACAACTCTTGAACTATCAACAACAAATTCAGTATACACACCGGATCATGAACTGAGTAGCATGAGGACCACTGAGCATCATTCAAATACCTTTCCTAACCACAGCTTTACAAACTATTCAGAAACAACTCTTGGACTATCAACAACAAATACATTCAACTATAAAACCATGAAAAATGGATTACAAACTAATCAACTTCCATCATTTATTTGGAATAACAGAAATATAAACAACAGTGGTATCAGTCTCCCTTTATACTCATTCATCTTAATGCCAATTGCATTAGCGATCCTTTTTCTAACTCTAATGTGTACTCTATGGTTATGTATATATAAGAGATCAAAAGTATGTTATTGGTTCATTAAAGAAGCTGACGTTTTCAGTGTAGTATTTTATGTATTTCAACATATTCTGTTAAAATGAGTTATTACATAAAAGTTTAGTATAGACCCCTATAATTTCAATACACTTTATATATTTATTACTATACCCTAAATCATTGATAATTCTAGTCAAATCATGAGTCAATTAAAGCTAGACCACCATGGAAAGCCTCTAAGCACTGGATGGCCGTTTCGTCCTATTATGGGACGCCCCAGCAGGGCTCATCCACGATCCCGCCTCGCGAGATTCGAACCCAGTATCTATCAGTCTCGCGCGCAAGCACTTAATCGCTAGAACCATTGAGCCAGCATCCAACAGTGTTAATGTCTAACTTTGACCGAAACGGCCGTCCAGTGCTTCCAGGTTTTCCATGGTGGTGTAGCTCCAATTGATTCATGACCTCAACTGTTAAAATTACTATTATATCCACAAAACTTCGTCTGATATTGATCTTCAGTTATTAAGATGGGTTCCGTAGAATTAGCATGTGATTTGTTTTCTTTTTACCTTCGTTCATATAAGTTTCTCAGTTGTTTGTTTTTTTTATCACATAGTTTAGGTATATTACATAAATAGACGTTAAACCTATGAAATGTATCCTCAAAAATTTATCTTTCAGTGTCAGTAATAAGCTCCATCTGAAGTCGAAGTACAACATGCTAGTTTAGAGATAATAACTCTCCCAAAATTGGCTCCATTTAAACATATACAGATATTCTTAGATCTCTTTGAAAAGTTTAATTTTATCTTACTGTACGGATTCTCGAAACGAATCTTGTACCAGTCCAGTTTCATAATAGTGTAGCACGTGCCATGCCATCAAGTCACCTGAACAAAGACCCCGTGCACCGTTAGACCCAATGACGACAGAAGGTCCACATCAGCGAGTTAGTATCGGTATTATTGGGTCACTTACAACATCAAAGAACAGAAACCATTATATACTGTTGATGGTGGACTGTTTCAGCAAATGGTTTGAAGCCTTCCCTATACCACAACAAAATGCCCTCACGGTCGCTCGAGCTTTCATTGACCATTGGGTCTCCCGTTATGGCGCTCCATTATAATAGTTCACAATAGTTTATCCTACAGCTATCCTCTATTACCATATTGTTAAATACGATTGATCTCGGTATTGTGATCTTTGAATTAAGGTTTGATAGATCAATTAAATATTATCCTCTCAAATATATGTGAATTAATTCCTAACCATAATAGAAGTAGCTTCAACTCCTGATGTTTATAGCAGGGATTCCAGGCGGAGTTGCTATTCTATAGTTTCGTTCATTACTTTATAGTACAGATTAATACTTTTTGACAATCTTTTGATGTGTCAACTTTTCATTCATCTTCATTTTTAATTTCAGAAGAAGAATAAGAGAAAAGTTCCATACCCAAATCAGTCAAGTTCATAATTCAGTCAGTTCAAATGAATCATATACTAATGTAATTTTGTTCTAATCTAAAATAATTCATAATCACATTTTGACCATAAATATAGTTTGTTTTTCTTAATTTATATATGATGTTTTAGTGAAGAGATCTTCATTTTGAGGTCAATTAGATCGGACGATGTTGCCAACAGGCTCACCATTTTAGTGGCCCGGGATATGACTTCAATTAGATCGTATGAATGATTGCTGTTGAAATATACTGTTATATCTTGTGGCTTCGTGCCCCCTATCAATATGTGATGATGCCGCCAATTAGAGTACAGTGGATTATCGATCGGACCAATGATAAATAAAATATGTACGAGTAGTCTAGAGTCCGTATCGGTTCTGCTTCCCACTTAGCCTAGCCAGTTAAGTCCAGAACACCAATCTCAGGCTCTTCGATATGAATCATTTATTTCAAACATACTGAGTTTATATATAAAACCAAACAGACCACATGGTACCATAAAATAGGAAATAACATTTGTACACGACTTAGCCAAATGTGTCTTTGAATGTGGGAGACTGTAATTGATAGACTGGGCATAACTCAAGAATGATAAATCGCATAACAATAGTCCATAGGTCAAAATAAAGCTTATGATAAGACGAACACGAATATGAATAGTTTAGTTACTTAACAGTTATAAGATGAAAATATGTGTATGGTATTAGTCCAGAAATAGATTCTAACAGTTACTATTCATTATTCTCATCCGGATATAACTGATAAGTCATTCAAATTCCACGCTATACTCGATTCCTAAGCTAGTCTCGTAACTTCCAAGCTAAATCTACAGAGCAACTTCAACACGAGAGAAAAGGCTCAAAATATGCAAGAAACACTTTACTCCAAAGGTTCTCATTCATGTACAGAAAATAAAGGGTTTTTATAGTATTTTAGGAGTCATTGGGTTTCCCTGAAAATTCTAGGATGCTACTAAACATAGTAGGCGATCAGAAACTCTCCATGTGACTTTTCACTTTCATGATGTTTCTAGCAAAACTTCTATTGAACGCTGATTGGATGAAATACTTCTTAATATTTCTTGAGCCTTCCTTGTCTTTTGAGAGAAGTTTTCTGGATCACCCCAACAACAACATATGCATCCTGACTATTCTCGTATATTATTATCGATTAAATCCACTTTAGCGTATAATCGAACTAAATAAGTCAAATACGAGAATGGATTTTTGAATATGTATATTTTATACAATCGTTGTTTTAAACAACCAATCGGAGAAATGAAGCGAAGAGAAGAGAGCGAAGCGAGATGATGCACAGTGTAGATGTGTGAGCTTACATAAAAACAGTCTAGGTTGATAAGTCAAGGTCAAGGTCAAAACGTGACTACCCAAGAAGGTTGGCTAAATTGGCCTGTCCAGAAACTAGAATAAGAGTATATGGGCTTAACATATTAACCGACACTACAATGTTATAGTTAGGAAAAATATTATCTCAGTCAAACAGAAATCGTTGGATCTGTATCATTTTAATGATGAAACCTATTAGAGCATACATTCAAAGCTAGTTGTTGTATAAGCTGACATTACATCAAGATGCTATTCTATACCACCACGGCAAAATACCAGATTAGTTCAAGTAGTAACACTATGAATGGTAGTATGAAAAAATAAGCATAAAAGATGTGATTCAAGAAGGAAATATAGATTCATCCTATAAATTTTTTTAAAGCAACTATGAAAGATAGGACTTAAGGGAAAATAAAAAGCAAATACACCTTCATCATTGTGAATGATTTTGAGTCATGTCACATGAATCCTTTAACTACAGATCGCTGTTACTATGCATCTATCAACTTCTCGAACCAACAAGGAATTCGGTTATTATTACCAGGGTTTGACTTGATAATTTAAATTAATTAGGCATTTGGTAGATTATGTCAAGTCATTCCAGAATGACATGACATTGACTTGGTCAAATATCCTGACTTTGTTCATTTGTACATCACCTTTTGTCATAGAGAATATAGAACAACACATAAAAGCGAACAATATCGTTTTCAATTAGATCGCCGTCAGGCTATACTCTAATATACATGAATAGGGGGGTTAAAAATTTCTTCTGTACACATAAATTGGGATGAAATGTACGAATTCCTATGGTTTCAGCTATATGAAGGAGACGGGAACGAACTTCGTTAGAAAATGATGGAAGTATAAGATAGATCACTCGAGATGATTTCGATTTATCTACATTATGACTACTATCAACAAGATATATCAAGATAGAACTTATACAGTAATGTAGTGGAAAAGATTCTGTGAAACAAACTTCTAAATCTTTAAGAAAAATACTATTAACTTCGGAAATTCTTATCTTCTTCAGTCACCTTTTTATTCGTCAATGTGAGAAGGATAAGCTTCTGCTTTGAAATACATACTGTAGACCATCAACATTGATGATCTATGTTGAATAATTGGAGGCCTACTCGGAACGGTGTAACGAACAAGGTAACTTCGAAGTCACACCTCTCAGTCAGCACCTTACGTGGATTACCCCATCGACATATCAAAGGACCATGGATGCTCTGAAGACTGTACAACACAAAGGACGTTATAATAGAAATATATTAGTTAAAGTAGACACAAGCCAAAGTAGAACCACTGCCACATGGGCCAGTCCATGGCGTATGATTAACTGATGCGCGTTAATTGTCCTTGACCTTGACGAGGATCGATGATCTGTTCGATATTTAGTGAACCAACTGCCGGATGATTTGACTAGGGTTTAGTGACATTTCACTGGCTCTACAATATATATTTAGAAGTTTACTTTTTCTTGTAGATCAGGTTATATTGATCTCACAAAGTTAACTCTCTCGAAACATACTCCGAAGCATTATTCTGCTTGCTAATCAAAAATGATTCTTAAAATTAGTTGGTAATTGGGTTACTGAATATCTGGTATACAATAGTAATAGTGCTCCTCTACAATCCTCCTTTAAAATTACCCATAAAGTCAAACAAAATGATGTAAGAGGAATATAAGTTAAGAACTTATCTATCATAGAAGCTTTAGTAGTCCAACAATTCCAGACTAGTCCTTCATTTAATCGTCGGCTTAACCCCTGATTATTTTTCATACTTTTATCTACTGTTATTACTAATTCATTACTTCCTCATAATCCTTAGTTAGCTATTATTAAATTTAACTACTATATTGTTCATATTCATCAAATGAACAATTATCTTCATAAAATATCTTCCTTTATATATATTAGCTGTTAGATCACTACATAAGTTCATAATGTTCATCAAGTTGATAATTATCTTTGATTTATTTTATTCACTTTGGTGTATCATGTAATCCCTTGATACCTGATAACACTTTGGATTACCTTTTAAATGAAACAAGACGGAGATCGAACGAAGATCCTGGGTTCGAGTCTCCCATGAGGGTCGTAAATGTACAACACTAAGGAGTCCTATACTAGAGCGAAACGGTCATCCAATGCTTCCAGGTTTTCAATGGTGGTCTAACATTGATCGGTCTATGACTGCAAAGAAATATTGATCTCCTTTATTAGACACTTATGTATGCTAATTAACTATAAGTACCGTCGTAAAGCTTTAATAAGTGATATTGTATAAACGAAGCTTTCCTTTGATGAATCTTTATTTGTTTAGTAGCTCACTCATTAAATCTCAATGTTAGAGTTAGTATCACGTTTTAAAATGAAGCAGAACGATAAATTGGTTATTCGCAACAATGTTATTAGCGGTATGCACTGTGATCAAGTTAGTCACTGACATGGCATTTCCTTCAAGAAACTACAACATAAGAATGCAAATGACATGAGGATATTGTTGAATTACATGGTTGACATCATGGAAACCAGGAAGTGCTGTATAGTTGTTTTACCCTAGTACGTGACACCTCACTAGTACGTACTCATGACTCCACTGGGAATCGAGCCCAGGGTTTTAACCTCCGAATCATAGGATCTCTATTCAATGTCTTACACATCTAAACTCAATTAGTTAACAGATTTCCACAACATATTCTGAAGACATTGGTGAGTAACTTAATCACGTGAGGCATATTTGAACTTCACTGGTTGATGTGAAGCCTTAACAAACTGCGGAAGCTATTATTGGAGACGTTATTTCATTTGATTCAAAGCTTGTAAAACTGTAACATTTAATTTTGTGCCTAGTTCATTCTACAGATCGCGAGCTTTCGTTTGGTGTATGATTCACTGCCATAGCATTTTCTGTTCCAAAGCTATTGTTATTTAAACGCAACCTTTTGTACTCTATTTTCTACTCTAGTCCACCATTTTTGGACATAATTGTATTTTCCTAATTATTGTACGTTGTGGTCAGCTTATTCATCGATTTATTCATGTAACTTTTCACCCTAATCTGAATTCGGAATTCCAGTGCTAGATCGGGATTGGAATAAAGTGATTAGTGTTCCAGTTGTCCTTGTCCTCTCTCTCTCGCATGCTTGCCAGCCAATCAGGGATAGAATAGTTCTCGTGTCTCTACCCCCACTTCGAACTCACGCATAGTAGCCTCAAGGTTAAGCCAGTCAGCCTATCGTGTCAAAGTCTTAATCTACATTATACTCGGCACTAAGTGGGTAGACAGATCAAGGACGTAACACTGATCATGGCTTATTATATTAACGCCCCCAAATGCCCTGGTATGGCCGAGTGTGGGAAGAGTCTGCTCTCCCTCTCCAAATGCTCTCATATGGCCAGCGAATATATAGCCTTTGTCATGGAAGTCCTACTCACTGACGTCTCGTGGCACTATTGTTGTTTACGAAATTGAGAGGACGAAAACCGAATGTCCAGCGCTTTAACCGGGTTGGTGGACAAGGCGAGTCCACCTAGGGGAGTTGGAAAACCCTGATTCTAAACCAATCGTGCACATGGGCTCCAGTATCCTGAGGGAACAAATGGCATATGAATCAATTATTGGTCACGGACTACCATGGGAATACATCTCCTTACGATGCTCCACTGCCTTGTGGATCAGATCTTTCGGTCAAAGGCTCAAGGTGTGGGCCCCGAAGAAAACCACGTGGTTCAGTTTGGGCACCTGGGCAGTATCACAGCCCTCAAGCAAATCGAATGAGATTTGTATGGCGCATATGTATCTAGTGCTTCCTTGTATCAATATCTATGTGTTTAAATAAATAAATAAAATAAATATAATATTAAATTGTTAGATTTTTTTAAAAGGTAACAATTGACGATAACAAAAGTTCCAGAGGTTAAGCGCTAGCGCGCGAGACTGATAAGTCCTGAGTTGGAATCTCGTGAAGTGGGATCGTGGATGCGGAGCGCCACTGAACAGTCCCACAATCGAACGAAACAACTATTCAATGCTTCTTCTAGAAAATTATAATTAATGAAAATAACATATGAGACATATTTTATTATTTCAAATAAATAAAAAAAATGCTGAGACAAATAATAGAATTGAACTAAACAATTAGTTACTATGATATATATATATGAGAAAAAAAAGGGAGTAGAGAAAGTAACTAAAAGAAATGATAAAAAAGAAAAAAAAACCTTTGACAGAAATAAAAAACAAGCAAAAAAGAAAAAGAGAGGGGGATGATATACATTTTTAGGGAAAATGCTTATTTGTTTGTTTGTTTATTTTTTTCAATATAAAAAACAACCTTAGACCAGAATAGCAATTTTTTTAAAAAAAAAAGGAGAATAAAAACGAGTAAAGAACAAAAAAAGGAAAAAAAAGAAAAAAATATTGATTTTTATGTAACAAAAAAAACGAAAAGTAAAAAATGATAAAAATTTGCAAAATTAAAAAGAAAAAAAAAACATTTTTTGTTTTTTCTTCTAGAAAAAAAACTTCCAATTAACCAACCAATAAGAGAAAAATACAAAAATCATGTTCAAAGAGAGAAAAAAAAATATATTAATAATTCTTTAATTTATTTTTTTTATTTTTTATTTTTGTTTAATAGAAAAGTTACTATCATTATGAAAAAAAAAGAAAGAACAACAACAACAACAAGAATAAACAATGTTTTTTTTTTAAATTATTGATTTATTTTTTTTTGTTCTCTAATATTGATATGTTAACGGTTTTTAATCTTAATAAAATCGATATGTTTTTTTGTTTATTTTTTTGTTTATTTTTTTGTTTGTTTTTTTTTTCAATATTACAATGACTACTATTTTGTCAATGTATCTTATGAAGAATAATATATATATAGTACTGATATAAAATACACATAGAAGTTATACTACTTTATTAGAATCTTCTTCATTATTCTTTCATGGAATATTAATTAAAAGTACTTCAGATAAACAAAAAAACAAAACAAAAAAAAAAGCAACATTATATACGATAAAGTCTGTGTATGTGTGTGTTTGTATGTGTCTGTGTGTGTTTTCGTCTATGTGTGTTTGTGTGTTGATGTTGATGTAAATAAAAACATAAACAACAACTATACTTGAAAACATAAAAAGAATGTTTGTTTTTTTCTTTTTTGATATGTATAAAGAGGGTTAAGTTTTTGCACAGCCGATACAATAGGGAATACATTACCATTTGATTAATAATAATAGTAATAATAATAATAATAATAATGATATGGATCATTTTAATTAGAATCATTCATCTCTTCTTTGTATAAACAGTGAAGAATAGTTCAATTGTCATTTATTCACAATTTCAATAATTAATGAATGTTGATTCAAAAATTAACCTAAAAAAAAATAAAGAATGTCTATTTAGTCTTTTTCATTTTTTTTTGAGGGGGGGGGCAGGGTTGTTAGATATGACATTAGATAAATAATGTAAAGATTTTATAATGACAATTTAAAATGACAACTTAATATTACAATCATTCCTTGTTGGAAACTGGATAGTTGATAAGATACAATAAACTGTTTAGAATTGATCAACATACATTCAGTATATGACACTTTAGAAGAATGTTATTTATAGTTGAAATCATGAATCAATTGAAGCTAGATAACCATGGAAAACCTAGAAGCACTGGACAGCTGTTTCGTCTTATTGTGGGACTTACTAGTGATTGGCTTCAAGAAATATTTTCTGGAGTTCCAGTGAGAAGCAGTGACTAGGGGAGTACAACTAGGTCTTTTGTGAGATATCAACACCGTCAGATGCAGGTTCAGTGGTCTAGTGGTTAAGCGCTCGCGCGCGAGACTGATAGGTTCTGGGTTTGATTCTCGAGGGGCGGGACATGGATGCGCACTGCCAGTGAAGAGACAAACAATAGGACAAAACAGCCATCCAGTGCTTCCAGATGTTCTATGGTGGTCTAGCTTCAATTGATTCATGATTTCAACTATAAAATTACTAAAATCTCCACAACCCCACTTCTGAAAGTTATTTATGCAGTATGTTTTGTGATATTTGCTAGATAATTACTTCCTAAATGAAGATATTCGTTCCAGAAAATGGAAGATACTATCTAATTTGATGTTTATTAATAACACCTTGATATTGCATACTGATATTGCCTTAATTCAACCTACGTTTAAATAGGATTCAAAGAAGATTATCACTATCTATCAAGCAAGTACTTAAATCCCAATACATAGTGATTCAAGTAGCAAAGTATATCATGAAAATATTTGAAACATACATATCTGGAAACCCTTCCAAACTCAACAATAAAAACGGTAAGTAATGAGGGAAACGTAGATAAAGTACCGTAATTGAGTTTCAAGTACATACAGCTGATGAGTCATTTAGTAAGAGACTTTCATTTTGGATAACATTATCAGGTAGTGAGTTGACAAAAAGAGAATATTATCAGAATGGGGATTTGTGGCAATTTTGTGCAGCAATTTTAACAGTTGAATTCATAAGCCAATCTAAGGTGTAACACCATTGAAAACATGGAAGCACTGGATAGGCGTTTCATCCTAGTATGATCCTCCGTGAGAAGCCGGGAAAGAAGGAGTCCGATCCGTGTAGAGTGAAGACAGCTATCTATCTCATACAATGGACAAAGGTTTGCTCAAGATCATAGATTGATTAAAGTTAAACATCAATACCGTTGGATGTCGGTTCATAGGTTTAGAGGTTAAGCGCCTGAACGCAAAACCGAGTGCCTTGAATATGAGTCCTGCGGGATAGATTGTGGATGTGCACTACCAAGGAGTCCCATGTTTGAACAAAACAGCCATTCTTTGTTTCCAGGATTTCAATAGACGTCCAAGTTAGATCGATTCATGAATTTAACACTTTATTCTACTTGCATTCAACTTATTTTTCTGTATTGATTTATACTACTTGTTACTTATTCAGTAAACAGATCCATTTCTTACAATTTCTAGGTGTATGATGTAACGAATTTCTTCGTCATCTATTGATAACCTATAGTCCTTGGCACACAATTACATTGATTATTATTATAATTATCTCATATTCCCTACAATAGTTATTCTCATTTGTGTGTATTCCTTATATCTTTGTTTAGACTAAGTAGTTTTTATATTTGTGTGATCTTAGTTCTTAATCTAGGTGTTGATGAACTGTTAAATTTAGACACAGCTATCAGCTGTCATTTACACTATGTGATAACTCTTTATACTGTTATCATAGGAAGTGTTTCTTTTCTCAGACATACAAACGCGTTAGTTGCCACAGATACTTCACCAGTTGAATTTCGCAACCAAATTATACTTATTCCTCAATAAAAGAAGCGTTCTTCAGAATTATAACCAGAGATGGATAGTGGTTAACAGTAAGATGGTGGTTGGAGGCGGTCAACAGGAAACCCTGGACCCGGGTTTCGTGCTACTTGGCACTCGTCAGCAAGGTGTACCTGTAATCCTGAGGGAACTGATGCTCCCTGGCGGATTCGATTCCGTGTCACTCAGCTTCACAGTCAGAGACGTTACCACTGAGGTATTCGGGCCGCGACCAACCTCCTGTAGGACTGAGATGTAATCACAATTGATTGATCACTAGGTGGTGATCAATCTCATGCATGTCAGATCCTTCTTAGTGCTGATCGAATGCTATCGATCAAGTTGCAATGTGGCCAACCACCATCTTACCTCAGTATACATAGTGCAAGCAGTGTCGAGCCACCTAGACTGGTGGCCACATTGCAACTCGATCGATAGCATTCGATCAGCACTAAGAAGGATATGACATGCATGAGATTAATCACCACCCAGTTATCAATCAATTGTGAGTGGTTAACAGTGGAACCCAAGACGCGCGTTTCGTCCTGTTTCGGACTCATCAGATGTATGTACTCGCATCTCAGAGTTTATGTTCACTCTGGGACTCGGACCCAGTACTGTTCGCTTCAAACGCCTTAGCGTTATACACTTCGGTAGAAAGAGACGCACGACCTGGATTCCACTGCTAGCCACTATCCATCTTTGATTATAATGCTTGTGAACTAAGGCTATATCGAGGCAACACGCACAGTGTGCACATATGTTATTAAGAGTCTGATCAATTGCAGTCCTAAACACCAATGAGAAGTTTCAAACAAACAATACCGAGTGAATTTAGTTTTTGATAATTGTTATTTTTTAAAATTCGGTTTCATGTGTATCTCAACCGTGTAGATGGACTATCCGATAGAACTAACGTAACGCGTACATATGTGAGAAAAATATTTGGTAGTTATTAAAACTTACATTTTGTTGATATGTTGCTAGACCAGATTGAAATTGACCTTCGTTTCCTGTTAACTCTTTTATAATTGAATTATATCCACCACCTAATAGACCAATAGCTGCTGCAGCAGCCATTTGAGGTGGTAGACCAGTTGTAGCTGAAACAACATTAGCGAAACCTAATGGAGAATTCGGTGTATTAACATTTCCATGTTGATTTAAGTGAACTGTAGCTAATGTCTATAATACATTTTAAGCAAAAGAAAAAAACAATTTAGCTATCACTGTCAGTGAAATCATGTTGAAATCTAGGTATACAATATATAGTAGTATGTAAATGTTTAAGGTAAGTGAAAATGTTTCCTTACTGGCCCCAAATGCCCTGGTACGGGCGAGAGTGGGGAGAGTCCGCTCTCCCTCTCGAAATTCTCTCACATCGCCACGCGAATATAAAGCCTCTGTCAGGGAAGTCCTACTCACTGCCTTCTCGTTGCATTACGGGTGTTGTTTACGAAATTGAGAGAACAAAAAGAGATTGTCCGGCGCTATAAACGGGTTGGTGGATATGAAGGATCCACCTAGGGAGTTGGAAAACTCTGATTTCAAACAAATCGTGCAAATGGGCTCCAGTATTCTGAGGGAACAAATTGTGTATGAATCAATCGTTGATCAACGGCTACTGTGGGACTGCATTTCCTCACGATGCTCTACTGCCTTGTGGATTAGGCCTTTAGGTCAAAGGCTCCGTGTGTGGCCCGCCAAGAAAACCAACTGCTTTGGTCTGGCAGCCTGGCAGTATCACAGCCCACATACGAATCAACTGACTTGTGCAGCGCATATGTATGTGGTGCTTCCTTGAACCAATATTTATGTGTTTAAATAAATAAAATAAATATAACGATTTACCTGAGTTTGCTGTTGTTGTTGTTGTTGTAATTGTGCCATAAATGATGCAACATTCGATGCATTTGATTGATGATTAGGAAAATAATTATTTCTTAAATGAGAATTTGTACTATGAGACAATGCAGAAACAGCAACTGGAGATGATCCTGTTCCACTATTAGGACTAGGAGAATTTGATGTACCTGTATTACAAAATGATACTTGTGCATTGTTTTGTTGTGATAAATTGGTAAGTGTAGAAGGTGAACAAACTGTACCACCACTAATAGAAGATGCATTTGCAGAACATAATGCTGCAGCTACGTTAGCATGAGCAATGGCAGCTTGAACCATTTGTAGACTAGGAATGGATGGTGGACTTGCAGTTTGCATACCATAAGTACCAGTGTTCAAATTTCCCGGAACTAAAGTCTATCAAGTATACAGTTGAATAGTTAAATAATGTATGTATATATTTAAATTTTTATGAAAAACATTGTATAAAAAAGCGTACATGAATAAACAAATCTAATGAGACACTTCCCTAAACAAAGAATTTACATTAATCGAATTAGCTCAGTATTACTTCCAAAAAGCATAGTTATTATTATTATTACTATTTAAACACATAAATATTGGTACTAAGGGGCACCGAATACACTTGAGCCGCACAAATCTCATTTGATTTGTGTGAGGGCTGTGATACTGCACGGGTGCTGAAACCGAACCACGTGGTTTTCTCAAAGGGCAACACTCGGAGCCTTTGACCTAAAGATCTGATCTACAAGGAAGTGAACATCGTGAGGAGACGCAGTCCCATGGTAGCCGGTGACCAATGATTGATTCATACGCGATTTGTACCCTTACGGTACTGGAGCCCAATGTGCACGATTGGTTTGGAATGAGGGTTTTCCAACTCCATAGAATACATAAAGATTGTTTTAGCCAGTAGGAAGAAAAATAGTTTAACAAAATTCATGATCGTCAAACCATTCAGAGTATTTGGAATAAAATTTAGAAAATACAAAACTTTCAGAATTGTCCTTCAATGTCTAATCCTCTTGTGTGAAGTAGCAACTGTGATAATTCGGATAATATGAAGTACTTACAGTTGTGAAGTTTCCCCCAATGCCCTGATAAGGATGAGAGTTAGGAGAGTGGGCACTCTATCCCCAAATGCTCTTACATGGCCACGCATATACAGCCACTACCAAAGAAGTTCTACTCACCACCTTCTCTCATCACGAGTGTTGTTTACGAAGTTGAGGGGAAGAAAAGCGAATGTCCGGTTCTTTGACCGGAGTGGTTGATACGGAGACTCCACCTGAAGGAGTTAGAAAACCCTGATTACAAACTATTCATGCACATGGGCTTAAGTATCCTGAAGGAACAAATGGCGTATGAACCAATGATTGTTCACCGGTTACTATGAGACTGCATCTACTTACGTTGCTCCACTGTCTTGTGGACCAGACCTTTAGGTCGAAGGCACCGTGTGTGGCCTTCTGAGAAAACCACCTGGTTCAGTTTAGGCACCTTTACAATATCACAGCCCATATAAAAATTAAGTGACTTGTGTGGATATTAATCTTTGTTGAAACAATAAACTTTTCAGCATTATATATAAATATGAAATTATAATATCCAAGTCACTGACGAACTGACAGTAACATCCCTAAATTTGTTAAAATCTAGAATCAATAAACTGAAAAGCATTCTTTGAACAAAATGATAAGAATTCATTAAGACAATATTGAATGAAGGTAAACTTACACGAAAGTTATTTGCTTGCACTAAACCAGCTGCTGAAGACAAATAAGCTGTATTTTCATAGGCTGAAGCTAGTGATGGTAAGCCAGGTATTGTAGCCCATTGAGCGGCAGCAGCGGCGGCTGCAGCCGCTGCCATTGCTGTAGAAGCATCTGTAGCCGTAGCAAATATCCCATTAGATGTTTCAACTGGAAAAAAAGGAGTAAAATAATCAACAAAAATAAACTTAAATTGAGGTGTATCAATCGAAAACTATTAATAGTAGAGCTATGAAGCTCGGGTAACACAGCTTAAAATCCCATGGAGTAACACCAGTGCCACACAAGTCACTTGATTTGTATGTGGGCTGTGATACTGTCAGGCTGCCCAGACCAAAGCAGGTAGTTGTCTTAGAGGGCCACACCTGGAGCCTTTGACCTAAATCTTTAATCCATAAGACAGTGGAGCAACGTCAGGAGATGCAATCCCATGGTAGCCGGTGACCAACAATAGGTTCATACTCCTTTTCTTCCCTCAGTATCCCGGAGCCAATTGGTTTGAAATGAGGGTTTTTCAACTCTCTTAGGTGGATCCCTTATGTCCACCAACCTGTTTAAAGCATCAGACATTCTCTTTTCGTCCTCTCAATTTCGTAAAAAACAACTCCTTTGCGTTAAGGCAGAGAGTAAGACTGAAACAGTGAAACATAAATGGTACAAAACAATGTTCAGGAAATGATATAAAATTATTGACCTAAAGTTAGACATTAACGCCGTTGGATGCCGGTTCAGTGGTTTATCGGTTAAGGGCCCCGGCTCGAGACTGGTAGGTCCTGGGTTCGAAACTCGCGAGTGAAGGATCGTGAATGCGCACTGCTGAGGAGTCCCACAACAGGACGAAATGGCCTTCCAGTGCTTCTAGGTTTTCCATGGTGGTTTAGCTTCAATTGACTCATGATTTCAACTATGAAAATACTAAATTCTCCACAAAACTCCCTCTGATCTAAATCAATATTTTAACTGTAAATGAGTAAAACATTTGTACAATTACATTTCTACCTAATAATCCCCATTGGGTAGATACAGAAAAAAAATAAACCTACTAGTTGGTCCTGTAGCTGCCAATTGAGCAAATATTGATGGTTGTAAATTAGCAACCATACCATTAATATTACCAGTAGAAATGATATTTGGCGGGCAAGTATTCAAATTTGACAATGAATTATGTTGATTTATTCCATTCTGATGTGAATTATTCACACCTATATTACCGAAACCAATAGGTATGATTGTTTTAGGTTTAGTAACTTTTGTATTACTACGAGCAAATTCTAAACGCATATGTTGATTACCATCTGGATCGAATTTCACACCCTAACAATGATGAAGATTAAAACAAAATAAAAAAAAACAACCAAAAAATCACTTTTATTTTTACATAAATCAGAAATCATATGAAATGAATTAAGATTCAATAAAATCTGCTTCGAAAATGATTCCATGTTTCAAATTCACTTGGTATTGTTTAGTTGAATCTTCCTATTGATATTAAGGACTGTAATTGATCAGTCTCTTATTGACCATATGTACATACTGTGAGTATGACCTCGATATAGCCTTAGTTCACAAGCATTATAATCAAAGATGGATAGTGGCTAGCAGTGGAATCCAGCTTGACGAGCTTTTCGTTCTATTTCGGACTTGTCAGTTGGATGTACCTGAATCTCAAGGTTGATGTTTACTCCAAGACTCGGACACAGTATCTTTCGCTTAAAATGCCATCACGTTATCCACTTAGCTACTGAGTCCTGATAGCCACTTGCTTGTGTAATTGGGTGAAGTTTAAATTCACTTGGTATTGTTTGGTTGAATCTTCCCATTGACGTTTAAAACAGAAATTGATCGGTCTCTTATTGGCATATATGCATACTGTGTGTATTGACTCGATATAGCCTTGGTTCACAAGCATTATAATCAAAGATGGATAGTGGCTAGCAGTGGAATCCAGGACGTGCGTCTCGTTCTACCGAAGTGTATAACGCTAAGGCGTTTGAAGCGAACAGTACTGGGTCCGAGTCCCAGAGTGAACATCAACTGTGAGATGCAGGTACATTCAGTAGACGAGTTCCAAGTAGGACGAAACGCACGTCAAACTGTATTGCACTGCTAGCCACTTGTCTACAATTCAATAACAAACATTCAATAGATGATGAATTATTAGTATGAGTACAAAAGAGCTTATTCCAATTTCTCCAATTCCTTGAACATGCGACCTAAGCCGAGATAGTCATCTGTCTATCAAGGAATAATTTTACAGCTGAATGTTTTGCTCTTGCTATTTAAGCGTTTTCGAGAATAGACGTCCCATCTAAAGTGTTAGAAATCAATCAAAAATGCATTCGATGCATTGTATCTACATGGTAGAACCATTCAGTGATTGTTATGGGGTTCAGGTGTGAGCATAGTACAAATAAAAGAGATTTCTACATAGTGAGAGGTATAGAGTAATAATTTACGTTCAATAATCGTTATTAGCTATCAAATTGTCATCAATGGTGGCATGCTCGAATATCTAGGCTACATGTTCTTGTCATCTAGATATTTAAGCAACTTATCTAATTTTATATCAGAAGTGGTTTTGTGGATATTATAGTAATTTCAATAGTTGAGATCATGAGTCAATTGAAGCTAGACCACTATAAAAAACCTGAAAGTACTGGACAGCGGTTTCGTCCACAATTGTGGATGCGCATTGTTGAGGAGTCCCACAATAGGACGAAACGGCCGGCCAGTGCGTCCAGGTTTTCCATGATGGTCTAGCTTCAATTCACTGATGATCTCAACTATTGAAATTATCTAATTTTGTTTGTTTTAATACATCATTATGGCTATTAGTCGCATAACCTATTCAGGTGCGTTCCTCAAAACTTTGCGACCTTTCATTGTACAAGTTACCAAAGCGCTCAAACAAAGACATCGTGATTGCTAGCAATATGCAACTTATACAATGTACATTATTCAAATGTTGATTTATTGGACTGGTAACTTCTGACTGGTGATTACTCAATAGTTATCGTCACATTATTTATTGGACAGTAGTTACATTTTTCGAGAAGAAGATTATGAGAGCAAATTCAAGATTATTACAAACGTTCTGTACACATAAAAGGAGTTTCAATTTACGGATAACCAAGCATTCTGTATACAGCTGAAGGGTCTCGTACTAGGACCAAACGGCCGTCCAGTAACTCCAAGTTTTAAATGATTGTCTAAATAAAATTGGTTCAAAATGCCAATGAAATCCAACAATCATAACAACCCTACACTGACGATTTCAATTTTTTTCTGTTAGATGTTTCATGTTTGTGAACTATCAAAAGTGACTATCTCATTATAGTTAGCTACTCTCTGAAGGATTTCATTCCATATCTGAGGTTTTACTACCTAGTTATTCCGGACGCGACCGATTGAAAAGTATTTTATATTGGTTAATCACTGAATAGTGACCAATGTCATGTTTGTCTAATCCCTTAGTGTTGATCAAACTTTATCGAGCAATCCAAAGTGACTGAACAGCTCAATGGTAATGTTTTGACCGTGAGGATTGGTAAGCCGATTTAAAATAGCACAAGGGGTATTAGGTACCTTAAGATTACAGGTAAATCTTTCTTATTAAGTGTTGACTAGCATGAGACGTGGGTTGAGGAGGATTTTCCATAAACCTCCTTCAACCACTGATCATCTCAACATAATCCACACGACGTTCAGTTACATATACACTAGTGGTTTCATTTCATCTCCATCAATTTATATCGATCAACATTTAAAAAGACTAGATAAATATAACAGTGGATATTATAGTCAGTGATCTTTGTTATGAAGCACTCTAACAGCAAATTGAGAAAACTAAGAAAACTAAGAAAAAAACGACCAAATCAATAGATCAAGTTACCATATCAACAAGAACATTTAGCTCTATTTAAATGAGTGTAACGATGTGTGAGTATGCATTATATATGTATGTATTGGTCATGATTACCTTTATGGTCAATAAGTAGTTCTGTATACATATAAGTGTGAGCATGTGTTTGTATAACTGTTTCTAATATACATGTATTTTATACCTAATAAATGTTTGTTTGTTTGTTTGGTTGGTTGGTTGGTTGGTTGGTTGGTTGGTTGGTTGGTTGGTTGGTTGGTTGGTTGGTTGGTTGGTTGGTTTTGAGTAGTAGTAATAAGAAAGAATGGTAGAACTATACAACTATAATTGACTACAATGAAACATGGTGTCAATTCACTAAACAAATAAGAATCGATAAAATAATCAAATGTTAAATAAACATTATTAGTTCAATCGAAATTATTCGTATTAATTAAATCGAATGTTTGGTTTAGTGCTATTTTTTTAATGTAAACTGATGAGGAGTCCCATGATAGGACGAAACAGCTGTCCAGTGCTATCAGGTTTTTCATGATGATGGTCTAGCATCAATTTATTCATGATTTCAACTATAAAATTACTAAAATCTGCACAAAACCCCCTTTGTGATAATGATCATATGCTTACTAGTGACTGGCTCCATGAGGTAATTCCTGGAGTTCTAGTGAGAAGTCGTGACCAGTGGAGTTAATCCATGTCAGGTAGATACAGGTATCTACCTCAATAAAATGGAAGTCGGTCGCTCAATTTCGTGGATTGGTTGAGGTTAGACATTAATACCGCTGGATGCCGGCTCAGTGGTCTATCGGTTAAGTGCTCTGGCGCGAGACTGGTAGGTCCTGGGTCCAATTCTCACGAGGCAGGAATGCGCACTGCTGAGGAGTCCCACAATAGGACGAAATGGCTGTCCAGTGCTTAGAGGTTTTCCATGGTAGTCTAGCTTCAATTGACTCATGATCTTAACTACATGAAAAAATCCATTGAAATCCTATTACATTTTAAACCAGGATTTAATTTTCAGCGAATGGAATTTCTGACTGAATGAGATATTACGTACTATGTTTATATTTACTTTAGTGTAAACTGTTTTATTTAATCAGACAATGAACATGTCAAATAAGATTGTTTTCATATGTAAAGGCTTATATCGTCTCGTTGTTGATGTTGGTGACTGGAAACTATCTATCTGTCTAGTCATATAGGCATCCCAAAAGGATGGCTTTGATTATGTTATTTATTTATGGCCAAGCCACCCAGAATGCAAATATTCCAGAAGAGATTGACCAATTTCAATGTTGAATATCAACAACGAGAAGATCTAAATCCTTATAAATAAAATTCATATCTGCTTCACAGGCTTGTGGTTAACTAAACACAATTGATGAGCTAATAACATGTTGGAGCTTGATTCTTGAACAATAACACCGAGATGAAGGTATATCCAGATTGAATTTCGGTATTACTAATCATTTCAAGTTTATTTATGTCCTATTTAATCATTTAGATAATTCAGTTTTTCTGTATAAAGACTAAACACAGCTAACTAGTCCAAACACTGAGATCTTTGTGCAATCTAAGTCACACGCTTAACTCTACAACTAACAGTTGTATCTGATTATTAAAAACCATAATAGTTGAAGTGAAAATGAATTCCTTAACTAGTAGTCTAAAAGTTAATTTCAGTTCACAAATCATTGACCCATTTACTATCACTGTTTGGCCCCTCTAATATGCAATATCAGAATTTCTTACATAGTGGTTACTATGACTTCACCTTTCATTATATACAATCCACCTGTGAAACATGGCCATTAAGAGTAGAAGATATTCGTAAGTTACTAGTATTTGACCACAGATGTCTTAGAAATATTTTCGTATTTGCTGGGACCACCGGGTAAGTAATAGTGAGGTTAGAAACAGGGTATTAGGGAATGATGTTAAATCAGTTGATGAGGTCGTGAACCTTCATCGACTGAGATGGTTGGGCCACGTGTTACGCATGCCTGAACACCGATTACCACGACGCGTTATGCTGGTTAGTATTGGGGATGGTTGGAAGAGAGTTAGGGGCGGCCAAACCAAAACGTGACATCAGAGCATGAAGTCACTAACTTCTAGTCTGAGCCATGTTGGCAGATGCAGACTACTTGGTTGGGGTCCGCGTGACTATCGTAACCAATGGTTAGGCACTAGTTAACATGGCTCAGAATCGATCACAATGGCGTAGGTGTATACACTTTTTGTCTTCCCTTACACTGTGGGATTACTTTATTCTTTTCTTTCTACGAATTAATTCTTTATTTCTGTACTATATCTTTATACACAATCTTTCTTTTGTATATTACCACTACTAAATTAACTACTTCTATGAATCCGGTGTTCATCTTGTTGTGCGAATGAGGTATGACAACTTGGACCGATGCATATATGTGCCTGGTCCTACGTTGTAGCTGACTGTCTGACTGACCTGTGAGCGTGATGCATGAGTATTTGGTGCCTCATTGTATCAATATTCATGTGTTTAAATCAATAGATAGAACAAAACGAAAGAGAAAGGTTAAATATGTCTGCCTAAAGATTACCTGAAGTTTTGACATTGCTTCCTCAGCTTGTTCTCGTGATTCAAAAGTTACAAAACCTACAGGCTACAATTCAAAAACAAAATTGAAAATTTGGAGTATTAATCGCATTGAAAATGAATGAAAAACAAAACAATCTCAAAGATAAAAATCTTGAAATGTCGAAATTTTACAAACCACCTGCTTCGGTTTGGGGATCCGGGCAATATCACAGCCCTCACACAAATTAAATGAGAGTTGTGTGGCGCATATAAATCTGGTGCCTCTTTGTATCAATATTTATGTCTTCAAATAAATAAATAAATACTAACAGTGTACATCCACAAGCCTAATCGGTGATCAAAACCAGGATTTTCAGCTTCACATGATAACTCTCAACCTTTAAACCACTGAGCCGGAATCCGATGGTGTATATGTTGTTTATCATATTATGAGATAATAATACTAATAATTTGGACTTTGAAAATTCATTATGCAACAGGGTTAGGTAACCAAATACTGATTAAATAATTGTTTTATAAATATGTAAGAACTTTTTCAATTATAATATTCCATGCGAGGGATACTACCCCTAACTCAGGATCTGGAAAGTCGGAAAAATGAAAATTTCGAAAATACGATAAAAATAATCTTGTTGGTGTTGTATTAGTATTCCGACACCAGACAGTGGGTTTTAAGCGTTATTTATGCCTTAACGCTTCAGGCTGAGCGATTTCGCTTATTACCCTATATATGTGTTGTATAGAGTATAAGCTATATTGCCATTTAGAGCTGAAGGTCTTATGTGAGACTGCAGGTTCGCCATTAACACTGTGGATGGTTCGGCATTGCTTTGGCAAGTTTTACTGACTATTCATGTGAAAATTTAGTTTGCCGATCAACCGATTTCATTCATACTGGTGGTTGCTTTTCGGTGTTCTCAAGGGTTATTGTCACTGAAGCATTGTAAGGCATATCGTCATTGCTAACAGTAATGAGTTTGACTGTCGTGTAAGCGGGATGAGTCAACTTTGACCTGTTCATGCTGTGCATAATTGATTTACGCGATCACTGATCGGAATAATTATACATGTGATGTGAATGTGTATATGAATGGTGGGAATAGTCCATCAGGGTGCTTGATACCTGTGTGGTTGAGACACATGATTGAGCTGTGCTGTTCAGATTGTAGCGTTGAAGCCCATATAGTGTCTGGTTCTTTGGTGGGCTGGGATTGAACTGTACTGCTCGGGTTAAGCCTAAGGGCGGTGTCTGGCTCTCCTGTTAAACGGGATTGAGCTGTAGTGTTCGGGTAGTCACGTGAAAATATGGATGGTATCTGGTTCTCCTGAAAACCAATGCAAAATTACCCTGACTCACAAGAGTATATTATATAAATAACTGAATATTCCATGCTATGATACATAAATATTGAACCCTTAGATAATATATTATTGAGGCCTATTAGTAAACCCGTCTCAGATTATCTGATAGTGAGATTATGTCTGCGATATTGCCAATAATCAAATTAAGTTAAGTGTTGTTGAAAGAACTTCGCTCACCACCAGTTCCAACTCATCGATTTGTCAATCTCACGGTGATCTATCAATCAGTACTGTTAAGAAATCTCGAAAAAGATTAGACAAATAACAAATATCAATATTCAATGAAAAGATCTAAACATCGTTATAAAGAAATTATGGATTCACCAATTTTCTATCAAACTAGACTAAGGTGCATTCTAGGGCAATAAACACTAAACATGTTAGATATAACAGAAAACTACTTGCTTTCCAAATAATATAATTGATTATACAGTAACCGCCAGTGAAATGCTACGGAAATTCTAATATAACATCAACTGAACAATTGGTCAGAAATATGACTGTTTGAAGTTCATTTGTGGAAGCATTTAGGCTTTGAGACCTTTAAATATGATTATTAAAATAATCTTAAAGTCATTGAACATAACAAACGGTGAGACTATAATTTATGGACGAACTAATCAGGTATATGATAACAGATCTCAGATTTTAGCACGACATTCGCTCATCCATTTGAATAAATCGAGTTTTGGCATTATAGCTGATGTCATTTCGTTATGAAAACTGAAGCAGGTGGTTTTCTCACGGGGCCTTTCCCCAAGTGTTTGATCTGAAGTTCTGATCCACAAGGAAGTGGAGCATCGCGAGGAGATGCAGTCCCATGGTAGACGGTGACCAATCATTAATTCATACGCCATTTGTTCCTTCAGGATACTGGAGCCCATGTGCACCATTGATTTGAAATGAGGACTTTTAAACTCCTCTTTGTGGACCCTCTATATTCGCCCACCCGGTTAATGCGCCGGACATTCACTTTTCGTCCTCTCAATTTCGTAAACAACATCCCACCACGAGAAGTCAGTGAGTAGGACTTCCCTAGCAGAGGCTTTATACACGTGGTCATGTGAGAGCATTTGGAGAGTATGAGCAGACTCTTCTCATTGTCGGCCATACCATCTGAGATCTGGTTATTAGTTGGACACTTTCCAAATCAGTCTAGCGTCACTCAAAGGTTGTCCATAAATTATACTCTCACCTGATAGAATTATTCATAAATTAAGAAAATAAATGTATATTCAATCAAGATTAACTTACTGCTGTAAGTTTTCCATTCTTTCCCGCTGGTTTAAGTGTTGAAGATAAATATCCCTGAATGATTATTATAATATTAATCAATAATTTGTGATTTCAATCATATTTGATATTGTGGATGATCATCAAATAGAATAGTATTTTTAAAATTGTGCAATATTAATTGAAGATTGTGCAAATGTAATAACCCATTTATTTTTTTTTTTTTAGTTTTAGCCAATGATATATTATGGTGAAATCAAATAGGTGAAACACATTTTTAATATAAAGTGAATTTAATGAATGAATGAGGTAAGTGATTGAATGAATGAATGAATGGAATGAATGGAATGAATGTATACACGTAAGGCAGGTATGTGTGCAGCAACAAACGATGATATATCCATGAAATGTATTTGATTGTTGTGTTGATATCATGGATGATATTTATAGAGAGGGAGATAGGGAGAGAGGGGGGGGAGAGAGAAAAAAATACGAAAAAAAGGGAAACAAGTGAGTAGAAGTCATGTGCATTATTGTTTAGTGCATATTAGACATGATGTATTCTAATGATTGTTTATAAAAATGATAAAAACATTGTTAGCATATATGCTTAATAAAACTAAAATGAGTAACAGGCTATTATTGTTTTTTTGGAAATGAAAGTGCAGAAAGAATAATTTAATAGTTTAAGTGAATGCAAAGTATACAATGAAGTAATTTGATTAGACAATAATTAGATTATTAGTTGAGATCATGAATCAATGGAAGCTAGACTACCATCATGGAAAACTTGGAATCACTGGACAACCGTTTCATCCTATTGTGGGACTGCTCAGTGGCAGTGCGCATCCACGATACTGCCTCGCGAGATTCGAACCCAGGACCTATTAGTTTCGCGTGCGAGCGTGGGATCATGGATGCTCACTGCTGAGCAGTCTCATAATAGGACGAAACGGTTGTTTAATGGTTCCAGGTTTTCCGCGGTGGTCTACCTTCAACTGATTCATGATCTCTACCAATAAAATTACTATAATATCCACAAAACCACTTCTAATATTAGATTATTTTCAGGAGAAATCAGTTAATTTGATTTTGGTTATCCTATGAAGTTCCATAAAATATGATTCCAAATTATTTTAAAACGAATGATAATTATTTCTAAGTAAAAATTTTTGAGATACTACTACTTGAGTTTCTAACGGTGAACATCAACTGTGAGATCAGGTACATACAGCTGACGAGGCCCAAATAGGACGAAATGCGCGTCAAACTGGATTCCACTGTTAGCCACTATCCATCTTTGCTTATAGTTTATCATTCCCTGTAATGATTATTTTTGAAGTCTAAACAATATGAACATAATACGAATAAGTCAGTTACTCCTTTCATGGACAATAAAAATAGCTTGAGTAGTGGTAGATTTTTGTGACATTTAGAAAGTTGTGTCGAAGATAAATTCGCTAGATTTGATTCTCAACCAAATCCCATATTTATCATTAATGAAAGACAAGATATTCATGAGGGAATTATATATGAAAAAAATCCCAACAATTTAAAATCATAATAACTTCAACATGTCGTTTGGCAGTCTAGTTCAAGTACCTTCAGGGTAATAATCAAACATCAAAGTGATCGAATGTAAATATATGGTTCATAAATAATTGTGTACTTAATAGACTTGTTGTATTATTAAAGTAGGAAAACCATGGAAATACTCTTCTTATACCCACGAATTCGCACAACTAAAATAAATCTTCGACAAAATATTTCACATCAGAATAGCGGAATTTCGTTTCATAAACCCCATACAAAAGATACAACCGAAAAGTATACAGAAACTGAAGGTTAATGACATGGAAAAACGTTTTTGAATAAACAATAAGTATAAAGTCAGGTAAGGAATTATTGGGATCAACCATGAATTTCTCGAGTCTCTAGAAGCTGAGAATAGGCTGGAAACACCTTTCTTAGTCAGCATCGAATAAAAGCTTCCTCAAAATACTTGAAAAAGCTAAGGGTTAAATATTACTGTCTGATTGCATGACTACTCATTTTGCTAATGATTTAGAAGGTTTTCCAGAAGCCTCCAGAAGGTTAAAGTCAGTTGAAAACTTCCAGGTAAGCTTATTTTATACACATCAATTAACCGTTTAAAAATCCCAATCATATTAAAAGACTAATATTTGAACGAAGAATATTCTTTTCGATAAATTCTCTTCAGGTTCTACAATTATATATCCAAATTAATAATCCGAAAAATTGGCCAGGTTAAAGGCAAAGTACATAGTTTAATGCATGTAAATTTAGGATTGTCAAACCAATTAGTTAATGTTGATATGACTCATATAGAATGTTAACTTGAATCTGTATATACGTAAAATGAAAATTTAAGATCTGTGATCAGAATATAAATATGGGTCAGTTAGGGTGAGAGAGAGATATGATAGTGCAATTACAATTCGATCAAGTGGAAGACTAAATGTGTGAAAAATTAGTGAGACGTAATAAGGAGGGATCAATGCGATGTGAATGAATCATGTTTTGGGGGGATTAATAATGATATTTAACCAATAATAATAATAATAATAATAATAATAATAATAATAATAATAATAATATACAAAGATTTGTGAATAAAGATAAGAGACAATTACATTTGACTACGAAAGGTCGTAAGTACAATAGTCAAATTAGGTCATACAATAGCTAAGATGATTGTTCATTAATTGGCCTTGTGGTTGGCCAAGGGAGAAGTAGGGGTTGGAGTTATTTCTTCTGTACACATAGCTCAGGTTTCTTCATTCTGATGGCTACTGCCTCCGCCGTTTGAAGGACTTTAAGCCTGACAAGCTTAGGCAAAAAATTACTGACCCTATAAATAATTGAAAAAGATTGGTTTATACTGGCACTATGACCATCAATTAACCTTGAAGTAAAACTTCGATTCTCACTTCGCGCCTGTTCTCTACTATTCAAAGCTTAAAACTACGAGTATTCAAGGATCCTACAAACCAGATAGAACGTTGGTATCAAGCGTTTGAGCAGCAGATATATCAGAAAAAGGTAGAAAAAGATTTGTGATATCTTCAAGATTTCAAGAAAAATAGACGAATCCAAATCAACTGATGGCCTTTTCGTGCCTAAAATTCTACGATTAACACAAACACTACTCGTTTGCTAGTTGCGATCCCCTTAAACGATACTTTGAAAATAAGACATGAAAATGATAACCTCGCAAAAAAAATTTTAAAAAAATTCATTGAGAGAAAGAAAAGCGAATGTCCAACGCTTAAACCGGATTGATGGATACGAAGAGTCCATCTAGAGGAGTTGGAAAACCCTGATTACAAACTATTCATGTATATGGGCTCAAGTATCCTGGGGGAACAAATGCCGTATGAGTCAATGATTGGCCACCGACTACCATGAGACTGCATCTCCACACGTCACTCCATCGCTTTGTGGATTAGACCTTCAGGTCAAAGGCTCGGGTAGCGGCCTTCTGAGAAAACTACCTGCTTCAGTTTGGACAACCGGGCAGTATACCAACCCTCACATAAATCATTCAATTTATGTGGCGCATATGTATTTGGTGGCTCATTTGTACCAATGTTTATGTGTTTAAATAAATAAATATATAATTGAAACCAATTGTAAGTACTTGAAAACTCTAAGGTAGTGAATATACAAATGGTGAGATTTTTTCAATCAGACAAAACCATAAATCACTTAAATCTTTAAATCTTACTCTCTTTACAAGAGGAAAAGTTATCACCGGTAAACATTGGAATAAATCTCTGTAATCACAAGAACACTAAAACAGCAATAATCTAATGCATGAAAAGCTGACTAGTTTGAATTTTTCTTTCTGTTGAACTTACCACTTAAGAATTTGTGATGTACCAGGTTATTTCCAGTCCGGAAATTCTGTAATTTAACTCCAATCAAAATAACACCCGTTTTATTGAACATTTCTTAGTTCCTTTTTAAATGAGTAATGATAAATGGGATGTAAGATGATTGGAGGTAGTCGACAAGAAATTTTGGACCTTGGTTTCGTATTATTTGACACTCATCAGTTAAGTTTACCTATATCCTTGAAGGAACCGATTTTAACTAGCGGATTCGACCCAGTGTCACCAAGCTTCATAAATACACTTCTCTCACATAAGTCTTTCGCGACCTGAACAACTCGGTGGTAAGTGTGAAGCCGGATGAAATAATATCAGTTCCATCAAGGTTACAAATAGACCTTCCTGAAGAAAGTCAAATACCATGAAATATAGGCTCGGGTGTTCTTATCAATTACCATAAACCTCCTTACATCTCAATATAGTGCATAAAAAGTCAAGTCACTTAGACTAGTGGATTTGTTGCAACCTGATCGTTAGAATTCGATCAAGGCTAAGAATGACTTGAAATATGTGGTATTAATCAATCAATTGTAGATAAATAGGATACACCAACCAAATGTAATTACATACAATCCTTTTATTTAGAATGGAACCCTTGTCGTGCTTGATTAACAATGACTAAAAACATAAATATTCTACAACAGAGTTAAATTCTGTTACCATGTAAGCGAAATTCAATCTAGAAATTTAATACCTTAAAATATTCTGCTAAAATTTGTTCGTAGAAAAAATTTCTTGTTTAAAACTGTATTTTAACAAACAATGACAATCTGTAACGTAGGTAAGTACTTAAAGTCGTTATTCTGAGTAATTAACTAATAGAATCCCAACGTTATAAATTTTCAAAGTTGAAAATGCTAGTCGGTCCAAAGTAGACCAACATTGAAAAACTGGAAGCACTGAATGGCCGTTTCGTCCCTCTCAGCAGGACACACCCACGACCCTGCAGACGGAAAGCGAACCACGGACCTTGTCTCTCAGGCGAACGCTTAAATTCTAGACCACTGAGCCGGCATTCAACGGTATTAATATCGGTATTAATCACGGATTAGACTCCAATGGTCACGGTTTCTCACTAGAATTCTAAGAGTTACATCTACAAGTTAGTTACTAGTGAGTACGCGGTTATTATCAGTATGGGGATTTATGGTTTCAAGGTAC